GGGGATCCAGTGCCTCTGGATGTTACAGGCACCTGCACTCACAGACACATAACCGCCCACAGACATATACACATAATTTTAAAATGTTGAATATTTTTGGGGCTGGAGAGATGGCTCAGAGGTTAAGAGCATTGCCTGCTCTTCCAAAGGTCCTGAGTTCAATTCCCAGCAACCACATGGTGGCTCACAACCATCTGTAATGGGGTCTGGTGCCCTCTTCTGGCCTGCAGCAGACAGAATATTGAATATATAATAAATAAATAAATAAGTAAGTAAAAAATAAATAAATAAATAAATGTTGAATATTTTAAAATGAGTTTTATACACACATACACATGTGATAAATAATAATATAAAGACTTTAAGATTATGTGATGTACTTTTATATATGTACTTATATGTGTGTGAAGTGTGATGTATGTAATGAAAAGAGTATCAGATCCTCTGTAGCGGGAGTTGTAGGTTGTTGTGAGCTGTCTGAAATGGATGTGGCGAATCATGCCTGGGTCCTCTGCAAGAGTAGCATGTGCTCCAGCCCCCCGAGCTGTCTCTCCAGCCCCTCTTTTTACTTTTTATTTTGTTTCACTTTTTTTTGTTTTTGTTTTTCTGAGACAAGGTTTCTCTGTGTACCCCTGACTGTCCTGGAACTCACTCTGCAGACCAGGCTGGCCTCGAACTCACAGAGATCTGCCAGTCTCTGACTCCAGTGTGCTGGGATCAAAGGTGTGTGCTACCACCACCCAGCTTTACTTTTTACTTGGAGACAAGGTTTTTTTTTTTTTTTAAGTTATTTATTATGGATACAATGTTCTGTCTGCGTGCATGCCTGAAGAGGGCACCAGACCTCATTACAGACGGTTATGAGCCACCATGTGGTTGCTGGGAATTGAACTCAGGACCTCTGGAAGAGCTGGCAATGCTCTTAACCTCTGAGCCATCTCTCCAGCTCCTGGAGACAAGGTTTTGCTGAGGTGCGTTGGGAACTCACCATGTAAGTCAGCATGCCTCAAGCTCTCAGCCTTCCTGCCTCTGCCTCTTGAAGAACTGTGTGGAAAGGACCATCACTATACCTCTGAGTTGTGACTTCTGGACACAGAAACAGAGGGAAACTTTTATCATGCCAAATCCAGGAGTGAGTAACAAAGTTTCTGTTGGAGGTGATGAACATACTTTAAAAATCAGCAGTAAAAATGTAGACTACAAACTTTTAGTTATAAGATGAACACAGCAGGCTAGTGGTGCATGTGGATTTCTGTTGTTCTGGTATTGATGTGTGTGTGTGTGTGTGTGTGTGTGTGTGTGGTTTTTTTAAATTAAGGTTAATTTTTAAAATTATGTGTAAGTCTATGTGTCTGCACATGATTGTAGGTGCACTCAGCAATCAGAAGAAGGCATCAGATCTCTGGGAGCTGGAGTAACAGACAGTTGTGCACTGCCATATGGATGCTGTGAATTGATCCTGGGTCTTCAGGAAGAGCAACCAGTGCTCTAACCCCGGAGACATCTCTCCAGCCTGGATGTGTTGAATCTGATGATTATTGCACAGTGTACCAAATCATCACTTTGTATGTGTTATGGGTATTCATATGAAAGGATAAGGAGCAGAATTATGGTTCAGCGGCAAAGTGCTTGCCTAGTATGCACAAAGTCATAAGTTCAATCCCCAGCACAGAAAGATAAACAAAAATCCAGGATGAGAAGGAAGAGCAGACTAAATGATACCATGACAGGAATTCGGCTGTAGGCCCGTGATGCATACACCATTTGACCACAAGACCTTAGATAACCATTCCCCTGGGGCTCAGCCTCTTGCCGAGATGTCCCACCAAGAGACATCCTGAAGCACAGATATCGATGTCTGGAGCTCGGTCTGCAGAGCACCAAGCCAGTGTTATTTACCTCCCCACCTCCAACACAGAGCAGGAGGTAGAAACAAACCTGGCACAAAGTACCAGGGTACTATCATTTTTCCTTCTTAGGATGGGCTGCAAGTCCGCCTTAAGTCTTTGCTAGCTTTTCAACTAAAACCTCCAAAAATGAGGACGGGAAGAGAAACCTGAGGGGGGCTTGCAGTCTTGGACTCCTCTCTGAACTGACTGCTGCCATGATGCATGATGGGCCTTCCAGGGAGGGCACAGTTAAGAGTCCAGATGCTAGAAGAGACTGAGAAAGGCTGGGGCTCCAAACAGCCCAACTTTGCCCTGAAGACAGCAGAGGACAGATGTCCTTGGCTTGGTCCTCTTTTCCCCCTACCCACTTCCCCTCCGTTCATACCTTTCATTGTTGTCTTTCCCATCCTCCCCCTGGGAGACGCATTTCTGTCTTTTTTTTATCTAATGCGGCGGAAATGAATCATCTCTGAGTTTGTTTAGTAAATAGTTTTCATGCCTCCGGACCCCAGCTGTCTCATCTACTGGTTCCTTTATTATGGGTGCTCCTGACCTAGCAACCCCCAACCCCAAAACCTAGTCAAGACCTCTAAGGATTGACTGCTTCTGGAATGCGCTTCTTCTCCAGGTCTGGTGGCTCTACCTCCTCCACCGTGGGAATGATGAGAAAGGCAGCCTAGCCTTCCAGATGAGTCCCACCGGCTGAGCAAGAGGTAGAAGAAGCAAGGAAAGCATTGGATGCTGAGAGCTTTGTGTGCTCTCTCAGGATTCCTCAGAACCCTCATCTTACATATGAGACCAAGGTTCGGAGAAGCGATGGCACAAACTTCCTTCACAACAGCTAGGACAAGACAGAGTCGGAGCCAACACTCATATCTCGAATTTGTGGAATCCTGGATTCATCCCAATATATCATGCTACAGTGTGTGCACGTGTGTGTGTGCATGTGTGTGTGCACGCGTGTGTGTGCGTGTGTGTGTGCATGAACGTGTGTGTGCACGTGTGTGTGCATGTGTGCGTGTGCGTGAATGTGTGTGTGCACGCGTGTGTGTGCGTGTGTGTGCATGTGTGTGCACGCGTGTGTGTGTGCATGTGTGCGTGAATGTGTGTGTGCACGCGTGTGTGTGTGCGTGAATGTGTGTGTGCCTGTGTTGAATGTGTGTACTGGAAAGGCTCAGGTCCTTCGGGATAGAAACCCAACATCTCTGTGCATTAAGCTTTATGTGTGTCATGGATGAATGACAGGAGCCGAGAGAGTTATAGGGGATGGAGCCAGAAAAGGGATGTAGTGAAATAGGTTCGAAACCCCCCAAGCCCTGCCCACCTCACAGTGATGGAATTTCACAGGCTCCAGCTTTGGCTGGGTTGGTCTACTTCCTGGTGAATCCAGTCCTGAAACTTTCAGTTTCTCAAAATGGACAGAGGCTGTTTCCCTGAACAGAGTCTTCTGTTTCCCAGATCAGAAAATGGGCACTGAACTCTCGTGAGGCCACAGGGATTGGAATGAACACAGGTATCTAAGCTGCTGTGGTGCGGCATAGATCACCGGTGTGGTCAGGGCTACAGAGGGTCGATTACCCTGTGAAGGAATTGTAGCAGGACCGATGGAGGGATGGAGACTGGGAATCATGGAGGGTGTTCTGAGGAGAGGGCAATGGCATCTAGCTGTCTCTAAACAGATGTAGGACCTGCAGAACACTTTAACACAAGTTAAAGCATGCTCAGTGTTTCCAAGGAGCTCTGGAGTGCAGACATGCCTGCTGTGTCCCTTTCCTGAAGAGACATGAGCAAATGTCTCTTCGCCCTATGCAGGACAACAATGATAGACCAAAGAAGCTGTACCCAAGTCTAGCTTGACAAACCAATGGGTTTATTAAGGCTACTTATAAGAACATGGGTGACTCAAAAGAAGCAGCATTGCCAAAAAGCCCATCCAGTGTGAACGCCCACCCACAAAAGCTATTTAGCTGTATTTCCTGCTCAGCTTACAGGCAGCTCCAACAAAGGGTCTTCTCTCCCCAACCTTGTGAGTCTTCTACTTTCTGAACTTTATGAGCCACTCTTATCCGCTCAGAACAGAATGTTTCATGAAGAAATAGTTACACGCTCTTTTTTTTTTTTTTGGTTTTTCGAGACAGGGTTTCTCTGTGGCTTTGGAGCCTGTCCTGGAACTAGCTCTTGTAGACCAGGTTGGTCTCGAACTCACAGAGATCCACCTGCCTCTGCCTCCCGAGTGCTGGGATTAAAGGCGTGCGCCACCATCGCCCAGCCATGCTCTTATTTTTTATTTATTAGTTTTTTGTTTTGTTTTGTTTTTTTTCCTGAGACAGGTTTCTCTGTAGTTTTGGAGCCTGTCCTGGAACTAGCTCTTGTAGACCAGGCTGGCCTCGAACTCACAGAGATCCGCCTGCCTGGGATTAAAGGCGTGCACCACCACCACACGGCTCTTATTTATTTTATTTCATGTGCATTCGTGTTTTGCCTACATATGTAAAGGTGTCTGATCCCCTGGAACTAGAGTTACAGACAGTTATGAGCTGCCATGTGGTTGCGGGGAATCAAACTTAGGTCCTTTGGAAGAGCAGCCAGGGCCGGGCGGTGGTGGCGCACGCCTTTAATCCCAGCACTTGGGAGGCAGAGGCAGGTGGATCTCTGTGAGTTCGAGGCCAGCCTGGTCTACAAGAGCTAGTGCCAGGACAGGCTCCAAAGCTACAGAGAAACCCTGTCTCGAAAAACTAAAAAAAAAAAAAAAAAAAAAAGAAGAGCAGCCAGTGCTCTTAACCACTGAGCCATCACTCCAGCTCCTCTACTGTCCTTACATGCCCCCTTTTCAGATGTGGAAACTGAGGCTAGAGAGACTGGAGACTGAATAAACCATGCACTCGCAGTCAGCAAGTAGCCAGTCAGGATTACATCTGGTGCATTCCTGTCCCTCCCCTCAGGTTGTGGAACTGGACTGCCGGCCGTGGGGGCGGGGTATATTGTCCAGGGGCGTGGTCGAGGACCTGTAGGCGGGGCATGCCGTGCCGGGGGCGGGGCGGCGGGCTCACACGCCCGCAGGCTTGGCGAGCTGAGTCCTTCTCCAGAGCTGGGCAAAGACAGGACCATGGAAGTCCAGGAGCGGGAAGCGCGGAGGCGGAGCAGCTAAGCCCCGCTGAGACCTCTGGTCCGGCCATGGGCGACCGTGAGCGCAACAAGAAACGGCTGCTGGAGTTGCTGCAAGCTGCGGGCACCGGCAACACACACTGTGCCGACTGCGGGGCTGCGGGTAAGGGCACGGCGTGCGGGGCAGGTGCAGCCAGGCATGGCCCTAGCCCCTGGCTCGCCGGCCCCTTCTCTAAGAGCCCATCCAAGCGCGACCCATACTCGTCCCTCGCCTGGGACCTCAGTCCTTCTCGCTGGAGCGTCTCCGGCGGCCCCGACGGTTCTCCGTCTCCCTGCTCCCGAAACCCGGGACCTCAGTCCTCACTTCGCAACAGATGTGGTCCATACCCCTGGTCCCTCTTACTTTCCCACCGGGCATCCTACCACTCTGGACATCATCTCCGACCCTGGGCTCTTCCCGTACCCTCGGACCCTGAGGTCCTCACCTCCGATGCCTCCTGGGCCCCCGCGACCCTTCACTGCGGCGCGTTGACCCTGAGGATGCTGATGCGGCTCCCAGTCCTGAGCCTCCGAGCGGGTCCCTCACTTGCCCCTTCTCGGTTCCTCCTTCCGAGGTCTCCTCGGTGTCGCTGTGCCAAAGGGTGGGCTAAGCACGGTTTATGATGTTATCTCAGTTGTCCAAGGTTGGGGACCAAAAGAGAAAAGATTCCCGGCGTGGGCAGAGCTGGCCTCCGAACCAGAATCCGGCCCAGCCTGTCCCTGCACCCCAGCCCAGTCCTGCCTCGGCTCAGCGGAGATCCTGCCCTTCCACTCCGCAGATCCTGATTGGGCCTCTTACAAGCTGGGGATTTTCATCTGTCTTCACTGCTCTGGCGTCCACCGCAACTTCCCAGACGTCAGCAAAGTTAAATCCGTGCGACTGGACTTCTGGGACGACAGTATGGTGGAGGTAGAATGACGCGCGCGTACTCAGATTCTTGGAGTTGGGCGTGGCGAGAGGAGGCGGGACACAGGTGTTCCTCCTAGTCCTCAGAGGAGGAAATGGAGCCTAGAGAGGTGCAATGAGTAATGAGAGGAAACAGACTAGACGGTGGTGGCTTAGACGAAGATCCTGAGTTCAAATCCTAGCTAATCACTTGCTCCTCTTACAAGGGACGAGGCCCTAAGGAGTGCCTTTAAGTGTGTGTGTGTGTGTGTGTGTTTAAAGATATATGTGTACCTAAGTGTATGTGTGTGCACGCCACATATATGCAGGAGCCCACAGAGTTCAGAAGAAGATAACAGATCCCCTGGAACTGGAGTTACAAGCCGTTGTGAGCAGTCATAGTGGCGCTGGGAATTGAATTCAGGTCCTCTACAAGACCAATAAGTGTTCTTAACTGCTGAGCCATCTCTCTAGCCCTTGGGCTAATTCCTTAACTTAGCTATGGATTCTATTTCCACACCCATTTTATGGACTGCACCACCCTCTCACTGGCTGCTGTAAGAATAAACACAGTCCGGCCCCGACGGTGGGCCTGCCTTTGATCCCAGCACTTGAGAAGCACAGGCAGGCGAATCTCTGTGAGTTTGAAGCCACCCTGATCTACAAAAAGAGTTCCAGGACAGTCAGGGCTACACAAGAAACCCTGTCTTGTAAAACTGGGGGTGGGGAGAGAAAAGAATACACAGGCACTAAGTGAATCAACAGTTGCTGTCTTTCATGGGAGCCAGGAACTGAGGAGAAAGACGTCCTGTTTCATAGCCCACGGTCCTTCACACCTCCCCAGCCTACTCTGCTTGCCTGCCCAGTTAGCATGGAGGAGCCCTCTGAGGAGAGACAGGTCTCCACCACACTGGTGAGCTGAGGGGCTCAGGGCCACTGGGGAAGCAGGTAACACCGTTGAGCATTCCTGTTCTGTGGCAGGATCTGGACTGTGCCTGTCACTATTCAGTCCACACAGATGTGACTCTAAAGTCCTTGACGGGGAGGAGCACACACAATGAGACAGGCTGTCTAGCCAAGGCATTCTGTGCAGGGGAAACACAGGGACTCTGCCAACCAGCCCACACGCCCACAGGTTTGCCTTCGAACTCCCCTGTAATGTCTTCACTGGGACAGGTGAACTCCCCAGAGTCTCTCATGCTCAGTGGGGGTCCACAGGCAATACACGCTTAAGCCATAGCCCCAGAGCTCCCAGGGAGGGGGACAGTGCTCACTGTGTCCAGAGATAGGATTTACAAACCTGCTGTTCCTGCCCTTACCCCAGCTATGTCCCTGTCCACTGACACATCAGCATATCACTGGACAGAATGCCCACTCTGAGTCTCAGACGACGGGGGTGGGGTGGGTATTATGTGGAGCTGGCAGCCACTTCCTTGCTCCAGCTAGCCCAGTCTCCTGTAGACTTTAAGGGCTGGAGTGGGGGGAAGCTTGGCTGTCTGTGGAAAGAGGGAGAGAAAGAACATGAGCTTTGGGACCCAGCAGAAATGGGTTGACATCATCACTTTGTATCAACTAGCTGTGCTGCCTTGAGCAAGCCACCCAACCTCTCTGAGTCCAGTGCCCTCTTTAAAAAAGAATAGCAGTGTTTAAATGGTTGAGAGGACCCAGTAAACTATCGTGTGTGAACTGTAAAGAGTGTTTCTATATAAACCGTGGTTATCAGCCCCCCATGTTAAAACAAACTGAGGCTTTCCATGCCTGGTGAGATGCCGCCTTAGAGGCAGGTTCTCCTGGCCCTGCCTCAGAGCCAGTGAAAACCACAGGCTTTTTACTTTTGATTTTTATTTTTTGAAACAGGGTCTCTCTACGTGGCCCTAGTTACCTTGGAATTCACTATGCAGAACAGGCTGTCCTCGAACTCACAGAAATCCACCTGTCTCTGCTGGGATGGAAGGTGTGCACAGCACCACGCCCAGCCACCACCATCTTCTGGGTAGACCGTGGTTTCATTCCACATATTTTTTTCTAGGTTCTAAAATTACGTCCATTTGCTCTTGTCTTACAGTTCATGACCCACAATGGGAATCTCAATGTGAAAGCCAAATTTGAAGCCAGAGTCCCAGCTTTCTACTATGTCCCTCAGGCCAGCGACTGCTTGTAAGTCAGGGACTCCCTAGCATCTGGGGAGGGTCTTCCCAGCCCTTCTCTGTTCCTGGTACCTTTGTCTGAGGTGAGTTCTCCTGTGACCTGGTTGGAAGGTTATTTCAGGGATGAATTTGGTGTCTGGCACACAGGAATCCTGGATTCAACCAGGTGTGGCGACCGAAGCCTGGAATTCTGGTGCATCGGAGGTGAATAAAGAGGGTAGGGTCAGGAATTGAAGGTCAGCCTCAGCTACTTGGAAGACAGCTTGGGCTACCTGAGGCTCCGCCTCAAACAAAACAAAAGCCGTTAATATTTGTGGAGCTGTACCCGTGTGCTGTTGTCAAACATTCTCAGCAAGTGTGACTGTTACCCTCTTTTTGAGAGACAGGACGTGATGGGTGTGAAGGAGCACAGACTTGGGTGTGGATTATCTGGTACCATGAGATCATAGTATGACATTAGGAAAAAACAATATGGCAGGAGGGTTGTAAAGGTGAGGGCTGAGGAGGACCATAGAACCTAGTGACCCCAAACCTCTAAAAAGCTGACTCCCTGAGCCTAGGCCTCCTTCTCAGGGATTCGGTCTCATTCAGGGCTGTCAGGTAGCGTCCTGTGGACTCAGGAAAGGGATTCCTCTGGGTAGACACAGTCTCATGCAGGCATGTCTGGAAAGTAGCATTGGAACCTCTGAGTCTCTGCGTGGTGCTTTCGGGCCTTGCACAAATGCATAACTGTAATGGGTGGTTCTGTAGCTTTGCAGTTACGTGGCCCGAGGGTGGCTTGTACCACGTGGAAAGGCAGGGAAGCTTTTTTTTTTTTTTTTTTTTTTTTTTTTTTTGGTTTTCGGAGACAGGGTTTCTCTGTAGCTTTGGAGCCTGTCCTGGAACTAGCTCTTATAGACCAGGCTGGCCTCGAACTTACTGAGATCCGTCTACCTCTGCCTCCCGAGGGCTGGGATCAAAGGTGTGTGTTATCACCACCCAGTAAGGGAAGCATATCTTTTTATGCAGAAGACCTCAGGTCCCCCCCACCACCACCAACACTACTGCTACCCAGCTATAAGAAGCTGGCCAAGCCACCAAGCCCCTTGGATGTCCTACTGCATGTAGTGCAGGTCCCTCTTCAAAAGTATAGACAACAAAACCAACGAAATGTAGATAAAATGACATCATTTGTTAAGCATCTCCCCTGTCAGCTAGCATGGTAGTGTTAATGCATTTCTTAGTGTCAGCCTTACAGTGATACCAGGTCCCTGGCGCCTCTGAGGGCTATGTTGGCCATCATTTGAAAGAGCCTCTCCCAGCTTGCCTCATTTGCCACTGTTCAGCCTTTGCTCCAAGCCCTTAGACAGCATCTCTTACATGGGCTTTCTACCCTGTCCCCTCCAGCCTTGTTACTCATGACTCCTACAACTGTCCCTTCATTTTTATTTTTTTCGAGACAGGGTTTCTCTGTGTAGCTTTGGAACCTGTCCTGTAACTCACTCTGTAGACCAGGCTGGCCTCGAACTCACAGAGATCCATCTGCCTCTGCCTCCCAAGCGCTGGGATTAAAGGGGTGCACCACTACCACCTGGCTATGTCTTTGTATTTTAATCCCCGTTGTTTAGGGCTGGTGGCTACCTTCCTCCAGTTCTAAAACAAGGAAAAGGAGAAGGGGAGATGGAAGAACCACACCAGGGGCTCCAGTGTGACCCCGTCTTTCTGATTCATGTGGCGCTTGTCCCTCCATCTCCCTCAGTCAGACTTTTACCAGCAAATCGCTTGCAGGTTCATGCTGCTTTACCCAGCACAGCCCAGAGAGGACTTCCAGTCAGTCTCTTAACTTTTGATCCCTTTAACCCCGAAAGGCCAGGGCAACCCAGAGTTCCAAGTGACCTGTTTAGGCCAGATGCACAGCTCCAGGTCACTCCTGGTCCCAGGGCATTTGGTCAGCTAACCTTTGAAACATGTACCTGGAAAAGATAAGAAGGTACAAACTGAAAATAAGTTTGTTCTCAGCTGCCCAGTTTTACTGCAGCCAAGAATAACATTTGGTTGACATTAGCATTAAGAACCTACTGTGGGCTGGGTAGTGGTGGCACTCGCCCTTAATCCCAGCACTTGGGAGGCAGACAGAGGAGGATCTCTGTGAGTTCAAGGCCAGCCTGGTCTACAGAGCTAGTTCCAGGACAACTAGGGCTACACAGAGAAACCCTGTCTTGAAAACAAAAATAAAAAACAAAACAAAAAAAAAAAAAACAAAAAAGACAAAACAAAACAAAAATAAACCAGAGCCTGCTGTGGGCCTGGTATTGTGAAGCGCACCTTAGCTATCTGGAAACAGAAGCAGGCAGAGCTCTGCTATACAGTAAGACCCTATCACCTTCAACAACAATGACAAAAGCCTATTGTGTTTTTAGTACAGTGCTAAGTTCTTTGCATACAACTGCCCACCCCAACAGCACTAGGGAAGGCAGGTATATTGCTAGCTCATTTCCCAAGCTTAGAGATGTTAGGTAATGTTCAGTAATTTGGTCTAGGGGTGTAGCCCAGTCGGGAGAGTGCCTGCCTAACATGTTTATATCCCTGAGTTGGGTCCCCAAGCTACATATAGCTGGTGTGGTGGCACATACCTGTAATCTCAGCACTTGGGAGGTGGGAGCAGGAAGATCATGAGTTCAAAGTCATCCTCAGTTACTTTAGACACCTCGGGGTCAGTCTACTCTAGGCAGTGTGGGGATTCCGAGTCCATCAGGAGGTCCAGGACGTTTTTGGCTTAAGTTTACAAGCAGAGTAAAGCACGGTTAATAAAAACTCAGAGACAGAAATTGGGGTTCAACCTAAAGGTCAGAAAAGTCAAATAGCCAGTCACTGGCTCTTACCTCTACCTCAGTCCAAAATGGCGATCCTGCCTCCAGGAATCTCAGAATGAGACTGAACATGAGAGCTGTTTCCTCCCCTTTTTTTTTTTTTTTTTTGGTTTTTCGAGACAGGGTTTCTCTGTGGTTTTGGAGCCTGTCCTGGAACTAGCTCTTGTAGACCAGGCTGGTCTCGAACTCACAGAGATCCGCCTGCCTCTGCCTCCCAAGTGCTGGGATTAAAGGCGTGCGCCACCACCGCCCGGCCTCCTCCCCTTTTATAATCCTCTCTAGGACAGGAACTAAAGGTGTATACCACTGGGATTAAAGGCATGCATCGCCTGGTCTCTATGACAAACTAGCGTGGCTACTGGGATTAAAGGTGTGTGTCGTTGTTGCCTGGTCTGTAAGGCTGGCCAGTGTGGCTGTTTTACTTTTCTGGTCCTCAGGCAAACTTTACTGATTAAAATACAAGCGAAATGCCACTACAGCAGAGAGCTGGGGTGGGGGTGCTGGGGACATGGTAAGTGTCTAGGGAGTCATATCTTCATCATTGACTTAGAGGGCTAAGGGACAGTCTAGTGCTTCTCAACCCACTAGAAGACAAATTTCCCTGGTGTGACGTCTGGAAAGCAGAAGCTCCTGGAATCTAGGAGGTTGAAGCTAGAGGTACTGCCACACATTACATAAACCACCCACCCCCACTACAGAGAATCATCCAGCACCAATGTTAACTATCCTAAGGCCAAGCACCTCCGGGTATCCTGAGAAGGGGAGGCTGTCCCCACCCTCCACTGATGGGTCTTGGAAAGTCACTGTGGGAACGGGAAGACAATGCATCAGACACAGCTAACCAATAGGTCTCTTTTTAGGGTCTTAAAGGAGCAATGGATTCGAGCTAAGTACGAAAGACAGGAATTTATAGCTGACGAGAAAGCTGTCTCAGCCCCAGGTAAAGTTACCATGTTGTCTGCATGTATGTATGTGCACCACGTGTATGTAACGCACCCAGAGGCCAGGACAGGGTATTGGATCCCCTGAGACTGAAGTTGTGACAGTTGTGAGCCGTGTGGTTGTTGGGATTTAAACTTGGGTCTTCTGGGAGAGTAGCCAGTGCTCTCAGCCCTGAGTTATCTCTGCAGCTGAAGTTTTTTGTTTAATGTTTTGAGGTCTATGTTCTAATGAGCTCTAGAGAAATGAAAGGTAGGGGTAGACTTGGTGAGGGGCTTGAGCCTCTCTTTCCACATTCATGCAGGGCACAACCTGGCTGGCAGCCCTAGACCCAGGACAGCGTCCATTCCACTGACTTGAATTCTCAAGCTGCCGCTGCCCCAAGAACAAAATTTTCCAGGATTTCCAGAATTCAAACTATTCCTCAAACGAGTATCTTGGGGTCACTCTTATACTCTTCTTTTTCTATGAGGCAGGGTTTCTCTGTGTTGCCCTGGCTGTCCTGGAACTCACTCTGTAGACCAGGCTGGCCTCAAATTTAGAGATCCACCTGTCTCTTCCTCCTGAGTGCGGGGATTAAAGTCATGAGCCACAACTACCATCCCTAAATTAAAAAGAAAAGAAAAGAAAAAAAAGAAAACAAAGAAAAAGTCGGGTAGTAGTGACACACACCTTTAATTCCAGCACTCAGGAAGCAGAGGCAGGCGTATCTCTGTGAGTTCAAGGCCAGCCTGGTCTACAAAGTGAGTTCCAGGATAGCCAGGGCTGTTACACAGAGAAACCCTGTCTTGAAAAAAAAAATAACCTTATTTTTATGTGTATGATTTTATGTGTATGGCCTGAATGTATGTGTGCACCACATGCAACACTAATACCCTCGGAGTCAGAAGAGAGTGTTTGATCCCCTGGAACTGGAGTTATGAATGTTTGTGAGCAGTTATGTGGGTGCTGGGTCCTGGGTCCTCTGCAGAGCAAGTGCTCGTAACTGCTGAGTCATCTCTCCAACATCTTGTCCTTTCTTTGCTTTGGCAAGCTGTGTGGCCAAGGCTGGTATTGAAATCATGACCACTCTCCTTCCTCAGCCGAGATGCTGGGATTACAGGCCCTGCCACATCTGTCTTCCAGTGAAGTGGGTTGAGCTCAGGGAGAGTCAAGACAGAGAAGTTTTGTGCAGTAGGTGGCTACTGAAAGTCTATAAAGTTGGCCCAGGTAGGACCCTGTGTCCTGCACCTGAAATAGCCCAGTTAGGTTGGCCGTATTTGAGTGGCAGGTGGGGGCACTTCCTACCCTCAGGAACTTGAGGCATTCTTTAGCTTTTTATGTTGACTTCATGATTTACTTCTTCTTGCCCTTGGTGACTCAGGTGACAGAGAAGGGTTCCTGTGGAAGCGGGGGCGCGACAATGCCCAGTTCCTGAGAAGGAGGTTTGTCCTTCTGGCAAGAGAAGGCCTCCTGAAGTACTACACGAAAGAGGAGGTAAGAGGCCAGGCTGCCTGTGCTTCCTCAAAATTGCTCCGCTCGCCAAGGCCTTCGTGGACAGTTTCTTGTCTTTTTTTTTTTTTTTTTTTTTTCGAGACAGGGTTTCTCTGTAGCTTTGGAGCCTGTCCTGGCACTAGCTCTGTAGACCAGGCTGGTCTCGAACTCACAAAGATCCGCCTGCCTCTGCCTCCCAAGTGCTGGGATTAAAGGCGTGCGCCACCACCGCCCGGTTTAAGAATTTTTTTATTGATATTTATTGAGCTCTACATTTTTCTCTGCTCACCTCCCTGCCTCTCCGAGCACCCCCCTTCAAACCTCCCCCAAGGTCCCCATGCTCCCAATTTACTCAGGAGATCTTGTCTTTTTTTACTTTCTACTTCCCATGTAGATTAGATCTATGTAAGTCTCTCTTAGTGTCCTCATTGTTGTCTAAGTTCTCTGGGATTGTGGTTTGTAGGCTGGCTTTCTTTGCTTTATGTTTAAAAACCACCTATGAGTGAGTACATGTGATAACTGTCTTTCTGGGTCTGGGTTACCTCACTCAAAATAATGTTTTCTAGATCCATCCATTTTCCTGCAAAATTCAAACTTTCGTTATTTTTTTCTATTGTGTAGTATTCCATTGTGTAAATGTACCACATTTTTCTTATCCATTCTTCGATTGAGGGGCATTTAGGTTGTTTCCAGGTTCTGGCTATGACAAACAAAGCTGCTATAAACATAGTTAAGCATACGTCCTCGTGGCACGATTGAGCATCCTTTGGATATATACCCAAAAGTGGTATTACTGGGTCTTGAGGAAGGTTGTTTTCTAATTTTCTGAGAAATCACCACACTGACATCCAAAGAGGTTGTACCAGCTTGCATTCCCACCAATAGTGCAGAAGTGTTCCCTTTTCCCCACATCCTCTACAGCATAAGTTGTCATCAGTGTTTTTGGCCATTCTTACAGGTGTAAGATGGAATCTCAGAATTGTTTTGATTTGCATTTCTCTGATGACTAAGGATGTTGAACATCTCCTTAAGTGTCCTTCAGGCATTTTAGATTTCTCTGTTTAGGTCTGTACTTCATTTTTTATTAGATTATGTGATCTTCATTTTTTATTAGATTATGTGATCTTTTGGTGTTCAATTTCTTGAGTTCTTTGTATATTTTAGAGATCAGACCTCTGTCTGATGTGGGGTTAGTGAAGATCTTTTCCCATTCTGTAGGCTGTCGTTTTGTCTTGTTGATCATGTCCTTTGCTTTACAGAAGCTTTTCGGTTTCAGGAGGTCCCATTTATTAATTGTTTCTCTCAGTGTCTGTGCTACTGGGGTTATATTTAGGAAGTGGTTTCCTGTGCCAATGCGTTCAAGTGTACTTCCCACTTTCTCTTCTATAAGGTTCAGTGTGGCTGATTTTATGTTGAGATCTTTGATCCATTTGAACTTGAGTTTTGTGCATGGTGATAGATAGGGGTCTATTTTCATTCTTTTACATGTTAATATCCAGTTATGTCAGCATCACTTGTTAAATATGATTTCTTTTTTCCATTTGATATTTTTTGCTTCTTTATCAAAGATCAGGTGTTCGAAGATGTGTGGATTGATATCCGGGTCTCCTATTCGGTTCCATTGGTCCTCCTGTCTGTTCTTATGCCAATACCGAACAGTCCCTTGTCTTACAGAGGACTTCAGCCCTGGCCAGCAGGACATTCTCGTACGTTTCCTTGGCTACTGTCAGTCCAGTCTACTCAACAACCACACTCTGGTCACTTAAAATCACTTAGCTTGGTCCATTTCATTGTTGTTGTTCTGTACTTTTTTTTTCCTGTGTGAGACAGAGTGTCACTACGCAGCCCTTACAGCCCAGAATTTGATATGTAGTTCAGGATAGCCTTGGGCTCATTGAGAGCCGCTGAGGTTTACTTCTTGAGTCCTGGGATTAAAGGAGTATATCACTATGCCTGGCCGAAAACAATTTTCATTGAGATATATTTACATATGTGATTTCCTCATTTAAATGAGACTAGACAGAGTGGCAGGTGGGTGGGTGTGAGCTAGGGGCCAGACTGGGGACATCCAGGGGCTTCAGGGTTTTTTAGAGAAACCCTGTCTCAAAAAAAAAAAAAAAACTGTTATAAGACTAAGTAAAACAGAACTTTCCCTCGCTTGCCCAGGTACCCAGAACCCCTGTGGCCAGACAGTTGCCTCCTCTTCTATTTTTTTCCCTTGTGATGTTAGGGATTGGGCTCATGATTTGTGCACTCTAGACAAGCGCTCGGTCACCGAGCTCTTTCCTAGTACAGCTGGCTCAGTTTCTTTATGGCGTAAAGGCTGTTTTCTTTCTTCTTTTTTTTTTTTCATATTTATTTATTGCTTTTTTTTTTTTTTTTGAGATAGGGTTTCTCTACGTAACAGCACTGGCTGCCCTGGAACCCACTTTGTAAACCAAGCTGGCCTGGAATTCACAGAGATCCGCCTGCCTTTGCCTCCCAAGTGCTGGAGTTAAAGGCATGCGCCACTACTGCCATCGGAGGCTGGCTTCTAAGCCAAAGCGATTGCTGCTGGATGTGGTGGTGTTTGCCTTTAGTCTTTGCCCCCTGGAAACAGAAGCTGGTAGATGGATCTCTATGAGTTCCTAGACAGCCTGATCTACATAGTGAGTTCCTGTATAGCCTGGGTTGTATAGAAAAACCCTGTCTAAAAAAGAGCTGGCAAAATGGCTCAGCAGTTAAGAGCACCCTTGCTCTTGCAGAGGACACTGGTGTGGATCTCAGCACCCACATCCTGACTCCTAACCACCCGCAACTCAAGTTCTAAGGGATTTCACACCCTCCTCTCAACTCTGCAGGCATCAGGCGTGCGTGTGGCACACATACGTGCACGAAGGCAAAACACTTACAAGTCTTGCAGCCAGCTTTGCTTAACGGAAGGGATGCAATTTTACATCTTTATGGGTAGAGCATCTGGGACCTACTGGGAAAGAAGGAAGTGGTGAGGATATCTTTGGAGGCTGGCTACCACACTGAACTCTGGGGCATTCCAGATTAGAGAACAGAAAAACAAAACGTGCTAACACGTCAATGGGAAGAAGCAGCTGAGCGAGAGAGCGAGCGGATGGGGAAGGGCTGAGCTCTTTGGCCGGCACTTGAGGCATTCAGCCTGTGTGTTTCCTCTGTGGCTTTCCTAGAGGAACAGGCAGTGGTAGAAGGCGAGCTGCTGTGTTGCGGTCTGGGACGGAGTGTGTTTCAGGAGCAGAGTGCTAGCCCTCCCAGTGGAAGTGAGGACCGGACCTGCAGTTTCAAGGTCTGGCAACTTGTTTATGTATATATGTGGGGTTTTTTGCATGTACATTTGGACACCTGAAAGTGCTGGATCCCAGGGAACTACAGTTATAGACAGCAGTGATCCAGCGTGTGTGTGCTGGGATTTGAACTCAGGACCTCTGGAGAACAGCCAGTGCTCTTAACTGCTGAGCCATCTCTTCAGCCCCACCCCACCTTTCTTTCCCCCCAAGACAGGGTTTCTCTGTATAGCCTTGGCTGTCCTGAAACTCACTTCAGACTGGCCTCAAACTCACAGAGATCTGCCTTCTTCTGCCCCTTGACTCACCCAAAGGCATGTGCTACCACTGCCTGTCTATAAAAAGTTTCTTATTTATTTATTTATTTATTTATTTATTTTGGTTTTTCGAGACAGGGTTTCTCTGTGACTTTGGAGCCTGTCCTGGAACTAGCTCTTATAGACCAGGCTGGTCTTGAACTCACAGAGATCCGCCTGCCTCTGCCTCCCGAGTGCTGGGATTAAAGGCGTGCGCCACCATCGCCTGGCTATAAAAAGTTTCTTTTTTTTTCTTTTTTTCTTTTTTTTTTGGTTTTTCGAGACAGGGTTTCTCTGTGGTTTTGGAGCCTGTCCTGGAACTAGCTCTTAGCTCTTGTAGACCAGGCTGGTCTCGAACTCACAGAGATCCGCCTGCCTCTGCCTCCCGAGTGCTGGGATTAAAGGCGTGCGCCACCACCGCCCGGCAAAAAGTTTCTTAAACAAGTTTTTCATAGAAACTTTATTTAGCTGGGTGGTGGTGGAGTATATAAAAAAAAGCGGGGGGGGGGATAGGGAGAAACTTTATTTTAGCTAAATTCTGGGGAAAAAAAGCAAAAACAAAATCAACATCCATGTCTAACTAGCTAAACAAATGACGACATAACTGGAGAATAGACTCCCATCCAACAGCAGAAAGGGAGGGGCTAGGCTTTAGAGAACAGCTCAACGGTTAGGAGCGCTCGCTGCAGCTCGGTGTGGCAGTGAGCACGTAATCTTTGTTAGGAGCGCTTGCTGCAGCTTGAAAGAGCGCTTGCTGCAGCTTGGTGTGGTAGTGAGCACTCGTAATCTTTGTTAGGAGCGCTTGCTGCAGCTTGGTGTGGCAGTGAGCACGTAATCTTTGTTAGGAGCGCTTGCTGCAGCTTGGTGTGGCAGTGAGCACGTAATCTTTGTTAGGAGCGCTTGCTGCAGCTTGGTGTGGTAGTGAGCACGTAATCTTTGTTAGGAGCGCTTGCTGCAGCTTGGTGTGGTAGTGAGCACTCGTAATCTTTGTTAGGAGCGCTTACTACAGCTTGGTGTGGTAGTGAACACGTAATCTTTGTTAGGAGTGCTTGCTGCAGCTTGGTGTGGTAGTGAACACGTAATCTTTGTTAAGAGCGCTTGCTGTAGCTTGGTGTGGTAGTGAGCACTCGTAATCTTTGTTAGGAGCGCTTGCTGCAGCTTGGTGTGGTAGTGAGCACTCGTAATCTTTGTTAGGAGCGCTTGCTGCAGCTTGGTGTGGTAGTGAGCACTCGTAATCTTTGTTAAGAGCGCTTGCTGCAGCTTGGTGTGGTAGTGAACACGTAATCTTTGTTAGGAGCGCTTGCTGCAGCTTGGTGTGGTAGTGAGCACGTAATCTTTGTTAAGAGCGCTTGCTGCAGCTTGGTGTGGTAGTGAGCACGTAATCTTTGTTAGGAGCGCTTGCTGCAGCTTGGTGTGGTAGTGAGCACTCGTAATCTTTGTTAGGAGCGCTTGCTCCAGCTTGGTGTGGTAGTGAACACGTAATCTTTGTACTCGGGAGGCAGAGGCAGGAGAATCTGAGTTCAAGGCCAGCCTGGTCTACAACGTGAGTTTCACAACAGTGAAGTCTATACAGAGAAACCCTGTCTTAAAAAACCAAAACCAAACCAACCAAACAAACAAACAAAAAACCCTGACAATTGTAACAATATAAGTAAATCCTAAAAATATCTTTCTAGAAAAAAAGGACAGGCAGGGGTGGCACATGTCTTTAATCTCAGCACTCAGGAAGCAGAGACAGGTGAATCTCTGTGAGTTTGAGGCCAGCCTGGTCTATGCAGTGAGTTCTAAGACAGTCAGGGCTACACAAAGAAATTCAATCTCAAAAAAACAAAACAAAACATAAAACAAGAACAACAGCAGAAACAAAGAACTCAGTGAGTAAGTGAAGCCCTAGATTAGTCCCTAGTACTACAAATCAAATAGATAAGTGAACACACAAATAAATAATGATGAAAAGGAGCTGGAGGTGACCTTTAGGGTAGAGCACTTGTCTAGTAAGCTCAAGGTCCAGTGCTTGGTCCCCAGTACCACAAAGCAAATTAAAAACCTACATAGGACAATAAGTTGATCATAGATACATGCCTATGAGCACACGTGTGTGTTTGTACAAGTATGAGAAAGGAAGCAGAAGAATAGGCTTGAAACTTATGACTGCCTTCCTGTGGGAAACACAGAAAGGGTGGAGTAAGCTTCAGGTAATGAAATTGTCTTTTAGTAATGGGATATGTGTGTGTGTGTGTGTGTGTGTGTGTGTGTGTGTGTGTGTTGCTAGGGCTCAAACCCAGAACCTCATGCAAACATTGTAGGCAGGCATTTCTGTCCCACCAGCCATTCCCCAAATAACCACACAGAGACTTAATATTAATTATAAATGCTCAACCAATAGCTTAGGCTCGTTTCTAATTAGCTCTTATAATTTAAATTCACCCATTAATCTACTGCCCCAGGCTCCTTTGCCTCGTGAACATACTTCCCATCTCATGTCTCCTCACAGCTCCTCAGACTCTACCCTTCTTCCCAGCATCCTCCTAGTCTGGTTCTCCCACTCAATCCTATCTTCTTTTATTAACCAATGGGAGTAATGCATATTTATAGAGAATAAATATTGTTCCAAAGCAATACATGCTTTACCATTGAACTGTAACTCCATCCTGGTGATGTCATATTTCTTTTGAAATTAGAAAGAAGGTTGGCATGATGACACACACCTTTAATCCCAATATTCAGGAGTCAGAAGCAGAGGGATCGCTGTAATTTCAAAGACACCTACGACTGCATAGTGAGAGATTGACTCAAAATAAAGAATGAATATTGGTATAACTATATTTTTAATGTGTTCACAAATAACCTTCATATATAATATGCGTATTTATGTGTATTTTTTTCTAGCCAGGCTTTCTCTGTGTAACAGTGCTGGCTATCTTGGAACTCACTTTGTGGACCAGGCTGGTCTCCATCTCACAGAGACCTGCATGCCTCTGCCTCCCAAGTTTGGGGATTAAAGATGTATGCGACCTACCTCAGCAATATCTCAGCAAAAGTCGTTTAGCGTATGTTTGCATAGTCATGCAGTTACTTCCTTGTGGTAAGTTCTTGGATGCAAACTGTAGGTCAGACATCATGCTCAGGTCATGAAGATGACTCAGTGGGTGAAAGGGCGTACCCCACATGCCTGGCAGTCTGAGTTCAAATCCTGGAACAGAGGGTGGGAGGGAAGAACTGACTCTTGTCCTCTGACCTCCACACATGTTCTGTGGCTCGTGTGTACCCACAGTCGCACACAACAGCAAAAGTTTCCCTCTAGAGAGATTTTGTAGAACTTTCCTTGGTGATGACGTAATTCTGTGTAAGCCCTGTCTGGTTCTCATGAGCTGGCTCATGAGCACTTGACATGAGGAAATTTTTGTTTTGTTTTGTTTTTTGAGACAGGGTTTCTCTGTAACTTTGGAGCCTGCCTGGAGCTAGCTCTTGTAGACCAGGCTGGCCTCAAATTCACAGAGATCCTCCTGCCTCTGCCTCCCGAGTGCTGGGATTAAAGGTGTGTGCCACCACTGCCTGGCACCATGAGGAAATTCTAAGGATGGAATTTGAAATTGTGTCTAAACAATCTGTGGCGCAGAGAGATAGTTCAGTGTGGCTCCTGCAGGTCTAGGGGCTTGGAAACGTCGTGTCTCTGGTCAGGATCCCTTGGTATCAGTTAGTGCTCCACCGTGTTTCAGAGTCCAAGGGACAGGCGCAGAGAATGTGAGTCACGGGTGCTCTGAGCCCCCACGACTGCTTCTACTGGCCTGTTTATTTCACGCCAGTGGTGGATTTCCTCCAGCAAAGTTTCTGTGGCTGAAACATGTGAAAGTCCACAGTACAGGCTTCCTAGACGCCTCCGGGTCAGAGGAGCCAATGTGACTGGGCAGGAGGAGGAGCACAGGCTATTGGTAGGGCAGCTGTGCCTTTGGCTAGAGCAACCCAGGGCTATGTACTGGGGGCTTGTCGAGCATAAGGCACCTATCGCCATCAGTATCTTGAGAACTGCTTTTCTCTCTTCTAGGGTAAAGCCCCCAAAGCAGTCATCAACATCAAGGACTTGAATGCCACCTTCCAGACAGAGAAGATAGGACATCCCCACGGTCTGCAGATCACCTACAGGAAAGAGGACCACACCCGGAATCTCTTTGTGTATCATGACAGTGGGAAGGTGAGATGGCTCAAGTAGTTTCTGCATTCTCCGGCGTGGCGCCCAATCCTTTGGGCTCTGCTCCCGCCTCCACTGCACAGTTCATCGCGTGCTCACTCAGCTGCCCCTGAGACATCTTTGCTGCGGCTGCTGAGGCTGCGGCTGCTGCTGCTTGCCCTGTCTAGTGCCACCTTGTAATGCAGCAGAGATCTTCGGAAGGCAGAAGGGATGTGGGAGATGAACCTTTCAAGTACTGGGAACATAGCTGGGCTACCTAAGCAGTACTATTTGGCACAATAGCTGGGCAGTGCGTAGTCATCAGAGAGAGAAAAGTTAGCGGAGGGGACCATGGCCAGAAATGGCAAATCTGAGGCTTGTGGGTGGCACACACCAGGCCCCGGCACTCAGGACCCAAAGTCAGGAGGATCTCTGTGAGTTTGAGGCCAGCCTGCTCTATATAATGACTTACATGTCAGCAAGGACTACCTAGTGAGACAACGGCAACACACCACACACACACACATACACACACACAACAACAACAACAAACAAATGAACAAATGAAGAAATGGCAAGTCCAGGTAGGGCTGGAGATTGTGATTTGGGAGGAAAGGTGGATAGACTGGGCCAGGGCTTTTTTTTTCCATGTGCCACACACTGGACCCATGTTACCGAAGACCTCGTGAGCCTTGGGGCTGGAAGAATGGCTCAGTGTGGCATTTGCTGCTTTTGGAGAGGACCTAGGTTCAGTTCCCAACACCCACATGCTGGTTCACAACAGACTATAACTTCAGTTCCAGCGTAGCCAGTGCCCTCTTCTGGCCTCTGTGGGTACAAGGCACGTATGTGGTATATAGACATGCATACACACAGTCCGGCACCATAGCTATCAGAGCAAATCTTTGAGCCTCCTCATCCCAAATTCCTGGGAGAGAGCATACCTGATAAATACAGTCCAGCCTCTATAACAGTCCAGCTGCCGTAGCCAGGACAGGGTGGGGCTTGTAGGGTGTGGAGTTGAGGATCAGGGCGCGGCAGTTCTCAGAGGAGAAAAACTTGAACAGGAGAAATGCCTGAGAATCTATTCCAGCTAACCTATGGGGTGGGTGGTCTGTGGTAGGTAAGGGGGGGGAGGGCAGGAGGGAGGAGGAGCACGAGGTGATGTGAGTGTGGGGGGTGAGTGGCAGGCCTGCAGGACAGGTGCACTGCAGAACCTAGGACATGTTACTGTCTGTGCACCAGGGACTATTGAGCATCTTTATATTTTATTTATATATATAAATGCATATTTTAATATGTAAAATATATTTGTTTATATATTTACATTTTATATAGCTTTATATTTATATTTTAAGTTATGATACTTGGTTGATAGCAACTCTTAGGACTAGCAGACCCGGGTCCTTCTGCAAGGTCTCAGGTCGGAGGAGATTTAGTGTTTAGAATACTTGGAGACGTTCCAGTGCAAAATGACACATTGCATTACATTCTTGGCACTATCTTACCCTGTGCTTCATTTTGCTGTTTTATGTACATAGGTATTTTGTCTGTGTGTATTATCTCTATGCCGTGTGCACGTACTGACTGTGGAGGTCAAAAGAGGTCATCAGATCCCCTGGACTGCGAATTACAGATGGTTACAAGCTGCCAGTGAGTCCTGAGAATCAACCCAGACCCTTTGCAAGAACAGCCAGTGCTCTCAACCCCTGAGCCCTCCAGCCCCTTGCTCTGTATTGAAGCTACTAATTGTCTCAGTATAAGTTTTCTTCTGGTTTGTTTTAGGCAGGGTTTCACTGTGTAGCAGCTCTGGCTGTCCTAGAACTCACTATGTAGACCAGGCTGGCTTCAAGCGCATATAGATTTACCTATCTCTGCCTGCTGAGTACTGGGATTAAAGGTGTGTGCTACCATGCCCAGCCTCAGTAAAAATTTTAAAGGAAAATTTCTCTAGGGAAAAAGGAGAGAAAGACAGACAGAAAGGAAGGAAGAACTGAAGAAAAGATGGATGTGGTGATAATAATGCTAGTACTTGGGAGGTAGAGGTAGGAGGCTCACAAAAAGGTTCAAATGTGGGCTACACAGCAAGAGCCTGTATCAAAAATAACAATAAAATAAAAGGTGTGGTAGTGCACACCTGCAGTCCCAGTACCTGGGAGGGAGAAGCAGGAGAATCAGCAGTTAAAGGCCAACCTCTGCTACTTAGCTGTTTGAGGCCAGCTTGGGCTACGTGACTGTATTTAAAAAACAAAAGCAAACAAACAAAAAAGTAAAAAGGGCTCTGAAGATACCTATTAGCTGTAGCGGGCTTGCCTAAATAATGTAAAAAAGAGTTGGGTGGTGGTGGCACACGCCTTTAATCCCAGCACTCAGGAGACAGAGGCAGGCATATCTCTGTGAGTTCGAGGCCAGCCTGGTCTACAAGAGCTAGTTTCAAAGTTACAGAGAAACCCTGTCTCGAAAACCCAGGAAAAAAAATACTGTAAAAAGAGGCAGAGTCTGGCTGGAGAGATGGCTCGGCAGTTAAGAACACTTGCTGTTCTTGCAGAGGACCTGAGTTCAGTTTCCAGTGCTCACATGATGGCTACAGTCACAGGGTTCCGAGGCTCTCTTCGATCCTCTGCAGGCAGCACACACACTCTTGGGGGCACATGCGTACACGTAGGCCCTCACACATACCCGTAAAGTGAATGAAGAAAGGAGAAGGATGTCTGATCAGAGAGCAGCTGAGAAAGCCATGGACCATCTCCAGGTGAGATGATGCTGCCCCACGGTCATGAGGGATGTATTCTCTCACTGTGGCAATACAAAAGATCATCTAGTTGTGGCCTGTGTGCATCCCAGGTCCTGAGTCTCTCTGATGGAGGAATGTCTCTATATGTAACCCCCACACACCCAAAGACCAAAGAAGTATGTGTGTCCCCACAGCACCGAGAGTCTTAGGGTGAAGGGATGTAGTCTCAGGCCCACTCCACACCAATGAGTCTCCTAATAGGAATCCAGGTGATTCTCAGAAATGTTGGGAAGTATACTAAGCCATGTTTGCAGGTCACACTGGTCTTTTTCCGTGGCTGGGAGCTTTTCCTGTTGGTGACTTCCGACTAGCTCAGGGCAGCCCCCTGGGCTCTGACACTGTCCTCTCCAGATGTCTCTAAATGGGACTGTGTGATGCATATGTTGGCTGAATGCACATGCGTGTGCTGTAGCCATGTTGCCTCTGGCCCTCCCTGCCACCAGGGTCCTCCCACATCCACCCATCTCACCACTGTGTGTACTTTGGATTTTCCCTGGCAGGAGATAGTGGATTGGTTCAACGCTCTCCGTGCGGCCCGCCTGCAATACCTAAAATTGGCCTTTCCTGATCTCCCGGAGTCTGAGGTGAGCTAAATGTGGGCTTGGCTTCTTTTTTTTTTTTTTTTTTTTTGGGTTTTTTTCGAGACAGGGTTTCTCTGTGGCTTTGGAGCCTGTCCTGGAACTAGCTCTTGTAGACCAGGCTGGTCTCGAACTCACAGAGATCCGCCTGCCTCTGCCTCCCGAGTGCTGGGATTAATGGGCTTGGCTTCTGAGTCTCTCATCCCTTCCCTTTTTTTCTTCCTGTCTCCAGACCCCTAGATACTTGGAGGCTAGACTAGGGTTATTTATAAAGCCCAGGGAGACCCTCCCGCTACAATGTGCAGGTGAGCCCTACATACTGTAGACAAAGTGCTTTTGACCCATTTCAGCTCATAGCTCTTGCTAGACAGTAATTACTTAGAACAGGCAATGGGCTGGGTGATCATTCCTGTTACATGAGTAATGGACCAGGCCCTTCCCTGGCTATCCCTGCTGTGTGTTGTGATGCCCTGTCCTTGGAAAGATTGGGGCCTTCCTTATCACAGGATTATATCTGCCTGTGCTGGCAAAGGTAGCAGTAAGCTGAGAAGTTGATTTTGATTGTCCCTAGACAAGTGGGACCTCTGTCTATTTCCTGATGGAGAAGCTGGAATGACATGGGCAGAGGATGATGTTTTAAGTCAGTAGGCCTAGGCTCTCATGGATGCTCTGTCTCTGACATGCTATGTGACCCTTAGAGGTCACAGGCCTTTCTTTCAGAAAGATGGTAATTGGCCCATGTCTCCTTGAGGTTCCCTCTACTTATGAAGTTCTGTGACTGAGGATGTGGGATTGCTTTTTGTTTTTTTTTTTTTGATAGTGTTGTTTATTTAAGACAGTCTCAGTGTAGCCCAGGCTGGCCTAGAACTCACTCTGTAGACCAGGCTGGCCTAGAACTCACAGAGATCTACCTGCCTCTGCCTCCTGAGTGCTGGGATCAAAGGTGTTCACTACTACTATGCCAGCCTTGAGGATGTTTAAGCTTCCAATTAAAAAGATTGTTGTTTAAGTGATAGGGACAAAGGTACCATGCTGATCCTTGGATCTGACTGTCTGTCTTTTTGACAGAATCTTCTACAATCCAGGCTGGCCCAGAACTAAGAATGACCTTGAACTCCTAACCTCTACCAGGTCCACTCGCCACACCTGAAATCCTGAACTTCCTTTTCCTTGGGTTTTTTCCTTTCCTTTCTTTCTTTTTTAAGTTTTGACATATGTTTATTTATTCTGTGTGTGCACTAAGCCATCTTATCAGCCTTAATCCTGGGGTTTTGTGTGTGTGTGTGTGTGTGTGTGTGTGTAAGCCGGAAGTCAGCCTCATGTGTCACTCCTTAGCTGCCCACCCACCTTTATTTTCTTGAGACAATCTCTCTTCATTGGCTTGGGCTCTCCCATCAGGCTAGGCTGGCTGGCCAGAGAGACCAAAGGACCCTCCTATCTGTGTCCCCCCAGTGCTGAGATTACCACACTCACAACAATGCTCAGATTTTTTGATGGATGCTGTTGCTCAAAGTTGGGTCCCCAGGCTTGCACGGCAAGCATTTTACTCCCGGGACCATCTCCTCAGCCTGATCCTGTAGTTTCTTAGTCTCATTTGTTAGGCCTTCATTAAAGTCTAAATGTTCCTCAATTCCCAGGGTTTACAGGGAACTGAGTTCCCGGGATAGGGTCGACTTCAGGCCTAGTGATGTACCCATTGAGAAGTTCCCTAGACACAGTTTCAGCAAGGCTAGGGGTCAGGGCTCAAAGCTGAAATCACTATGCTTAGTCAGCTCCCCGCTCCCCAGCTGGCTGCTGCTGGCTCAATGAGTCCTGAGAGTGCTGACCGCAGCTGACCCAGCAGAGGAGAGGGGATGGAGCAAGTGCTCAGCCTTGTTTAATCCAGCCTGGCTTCCCATGTTTGCTAACTTGTGTGGAAGAAGTTAGTCTTTGACCAGTGTCCTCCATGTTCCCTTCATCAGCCTTTACCACCGTCCCTGCCCTGCCTGCCCCTCTTTCTTGTCTTCCCTATGTTTAGGGGTGGCATAAGAATTTGGTGCTGGAAACCAATGTTTTTTGCAGGGTTGTAATGGTTTCATCTGAAATGCTGTGTGGGTCAATAGTAAAGCGCTTGTCTAGTTTGTGTTAGAACCCGAGTCCCATTCTCAGTACAAGGGAGAAAAGCTAGGCTTGGTGGCCTATAATCCCATCACTCTGGAGGCTGAGGTGGGAGGGTTGTTGAAGGTTTGAGGCCAGCCTGGGCCACATAGTGAGCTCACAGTCAGGCCAGCTTGGGATACACAGGAAACGTGTCGGGGGCGGGAGAAGGGAAGAAAGGAGGAACAGAGGGAGGAAATGATAAAAGTACACAAAATGTCCCTGGAGTCAGAGAGCCCAGTGTGCTGCCCAGCAAGTGACATCACCCCTAAGCTTCGGGGTGCCCATCCGTCATGTCACCATGGCCCCATGCCACCTTCCAGGCTATCGTGAAAACAGACTGAGCCAGTGTCAGAAGTACAGGAAAGAGTCCTGAAGGGAACTCCAGCCAACACGTGGCTTACCTTGTTTCTCTTGCTCCCCTCGGCCTAGACTAGCCCTGAGCTGGCTCATATTCAGAATACAGAACACAGGGGGTGGGGGGGCTTGAGAATAAATCCTATAGACTATGTCTGAGGAGAAATGGAATAGTCTAGTGTAGATTTTCTTTTTTAAAAAAATATTTATTTATTTTTTTATTTATTATGTATACAGTATTCTTTCTGCGTGTATGCCTGAAGGCCAGAAGAGGGCACCAGACCTCATTACAAATGGTTGTGAGCCACCATGTGGTTGCTGGGAATTGAACTCAGGACCTTTGGAAGAGCAGGCAATGCTCTTAACCGTTGAGCCATCTCTCCAGCCCCTCTAGTGTAGATTTTCATTGTGGGCTGCAACTTCTCTCTTGCTTCCTCAGCTTTGCCCCTGCAACTCCAGGGATCCTGCTGCTGTTCTGGGCATCTAGGTTGCCATTTGAAGTCCTAGATTTGTCTGGTTCTCCTTTCCCTACTTCTAGGAAGCACAGGAAGACATGGTCAATCTCTGGGAACTTCTCTGAGCATAGGAAAGCGGGCTGTGAGGGCTGGTGGAGATCAGGAAATGGAGACAGAGCCTTACCAAGTAGCAGCTGGTCAAGGCTATGGTGCTAACATTCTGGTCTCCTAATGCCCAATCCAGAGTTTTCTCTATTTGTCCACCCTGGCATCACCTCTTCTTGGCCTGTGTCACATTCTGTGACCAGGTCTCAGCTGGCACGGTGGGGCGTCTGGTCAAAGGGCTCTGCTATCCTTACATTTCGGCAGCATTGTGTGATGATACACAGGCCTGCTGCCTGCCAACCCTGAGTGTGAATCCCACCTCTGTATGTTAGCAGTCACGTGACTTCTGCAAAGTCTCCACTCACATCTCTATGGCCTAGTTTCTTAGTGAGTTTGGTGAGGCTGATAAAATCTACCACCCAGGGGAATCAGGGATTGGACCCAGAGCCTGCTACAGATAGGTAGGGATTCCCTCCTCCTGCTCCTACTACCCAGGGGGGGTCAGGGATTGTACCCTGAACCTGCTACAGCAGGCAGGTGGGTTTTCCTTCCTTCTGCTCTTCTTCTGTTTGGTTGTTTGAGATAAGGTTTTTCTATGTAGCCCTGGCTATCTTGGAACTCACTCTGTAGATGAGGCTGGCCTCAAACTCAAAGATCTGCCTGCCTCTCTGCCTCCCAAGTCCTAGTGTCAAAGGCATTCGCCACCATGCCTGTCGACAAGTGAGTCTCTTGACAGCCTTGCCTGCATCTATAATCTGGGATGAATGAAGTATTTAAGTCACGACTGCACCATGCTGGAAAACTACAGATGAATCAGGGCTCGTGCACTGGCTTTGTTGAGCTATTTGCATTACACCCAGCACACACTCCAAATATGATCCATCAGCCATGAGGACGCTCCCTTCTCCACTCCACACTTCTCCTGGCTCTGACTAGGGAGTCAACCTTGCCTCTCCTTGCAGCTCGTGCCTCTCATTACCAGGAACTACCTCAAACAAGGCTTCATGGAGAAGACCGGTCCAAAGGTAAATTTTCTGGATTATTTAACGTGGTCCTATCCCAACCACCAATAAAGCAGAAAAGCATGGATGGGAGCGGAAGGAGGGCTGAATAGAGAGGAAGAGGAAGAATGCCAGTATCTGTGGGTCTCTGTACTGAGGGATGGAGTAGGGACCAGGAGTTGGCTGCTGTGTGAAGCCCGCATTGCTCCCGCAATTTCTTCCCCTCGGGTACCACTTTATCGTCTTCATCAGTGTCTTTCCTCTGTGACCACTAGACTTCAGCTAACCCTGGGAAAGCAGTGCTGAGTAGGAATCCCCTAGAGAGACAGCTCTAAGTGCTAGGCGTCCACCAAGACAGAGCAAGGGAGACAGCCTGAAAAAAAACTTGACCCTGTATCCTGTCTCCTCCCCCTCACCAGGGCCTGTGCTTTCGCTATTATCTCTCCTATCTAAGGAGGAAGAGGAGCTGCCCCTGAGGGGAGGAGCCTGGGGTTTCCTGTGAGCCAGAGAAGGGTTGTACAAACCCAGATTCTTAGGCTGAGGCAGAAGAATGCAAGCTAGCCTGGCCTACATAACAAACTCAAAGTCAGTCTGCACCATTTAGTGAGCACCCCCTCCCATCTCAAAATAAAAAAAATAATAAGGTGAGGTGGGGGTGAGGTGTGTAGCTCAAGGTAAAGGGCTTGCTTAGCATGTGGAAGGTCGGGTTCAGTGTAAAAATACAATCATAAGGAGCTGGAGAGATGGCACCACCTGCTCTTCAGAGGTCCTGAGTTCAATTCCCAGCAACCACATGGTGGCTCACAACCATCTGTACTGAGATCTGGTGCCCTCCTCTGGCGTGTGGGCATACATGGAGGCAGAATGTTGTATACATAATAAATAAATAAATCTTAAAAAAAAATACAATCATAATGTGTTACAGGATGACTGTTAGGAGGACCCTGAAAGGTGTTGGGGGACAGTGTAAAAGAAAACCTTAGGAGCCAGGTGGTGCCTGTAATCCCAGCAAGGCAGGTGGATCTCTGAGTTCAAGGCCAGCCTGATCTACAGAATGAGGTCCAAGACAGTCAAGACAATAAGACAATACAGAGAAACCTTGTCTCAAAAAAAAAAAGAAAGAAAAGAAAAAAAAGAAAAAAGAAGAAAGAGAAAGAAAGAAAGAAAGAAATCCTCAGGAGTTGAAAATGTGGTCGAATGGCGGTTGGTGTACAGGCTCCTTCCCTCAGAAACCAGGCACACAGGCTTTCGCCTCAGGCCTTTCTCTCCCCTGACCTAGATTGCACTTTCAACTTTGTGAGTCGGAGCCACTTCTGACTTCCCTAGCTTCCTTTTTCTGAGACTTCTTTGTCACAGTCCGAGAAAGAGGGAAGTACCCCTTCACTCCTAGGCAGCACCTAGCAGTATGGAACAAAGCAAGGGGGAGAAAAGAGGTGAGGGCAGAGAGGGGCTGGGCTGAGCCCTCAAGAGTCTGAGCAGGTGCTGGCTCCTTTCATTCCAGCATCGTGAGGCAGAAGTTGGGGGAATCCCTGCAAGTTCCAGACCAGCCAGCACTACACAGTGAGACCCTGTCTCAAAACAAACAAACAAACAACCCAGAGTCTGAGGAGGTGTTCAGACGCGTGGACCCTAGAACCAATTTGGCTGGACTCCAATCTCAGCCCTGCTCTAAAACTGGGGAGGGTATGCATGCCTAGGAACTGGCGCCAGGGAGACACTCCCAGTGTCTGGTTGCAGAAATCAGGCTGGAGAACCAGTGCAATGACCTCTTCTCTGAGCTGGCCCTGACCTCTGTGCCTGGCTTAGCCAAGTCTGGTAAAGAGGTTCCTCCTTTTGCAGCACAGAGAACCCTTCAAGAAAAGATGGTTTGCTCTGGATCCCTTGGAGAGGAGGCTGCTGTATTATAAGAACCCTCTGGTAAGAGCCATCCCCAATTTCCTCCTTAGCATATCCCCAGTCAGAGGGGCTTGTGCTGATTTCAGAATATACAGAAAGGCCAGCTCTCAGAATCCCAGGACAGGGGAACCTGTAACAGGAAAGCCTGTACCCCAGATTCTCACTCAGCTCTGTTCAGGATCCCCAGTGCTGGCAGCTGCTCTTAAGGTAAGGTGGAACCAAGCACTCCCTTGTAACCAGGAGGTCTGGAGTAGAGCGGTTAGGCTTGTGGGCTCAGGAACCAGTTTGCCTGGAGTCTGGGGTCTAGTCTCAGCCCTGCCAGTGTAGAGCCATGCCCTGGGCAGGGTATGCACTTAGGTTGCCATGCTGCATTTCCCTTCTGACCAAAATATTGTCTTACCATGAATGCCTTGCTCAGAAGGGGCCGTGATAAGTATACAAGTTGCTAACATGTAAACCACTTGAGCTGGGGCTGGGGCACCATCCTGTAATCTCAGCCACAGGGGAGGCTGAGACAGTTGGATTGCAAATTCAAAGACTTCCTGGGCTTCAGAATAAATTCAAGGCCAACCTGTGTAACTTAGAGAGACTCAAAATTAAAAATTAAAAAGAGATAGAGGGCGGGGATTAAGCCCAGCAGTAGAGGACTTGCCTATTATGTTTGAGACTCTGCTCAATCCCCAGTGCCTAAAGCAAAGCAAGAATCCAGCCTTTGAGTCCCCAGTGCCTGGTCTAGTCTCTGCGTGTTAGTGTTTTCAGCAGACTAGTATGCAATATCCTTGAGGTTTTAATTTGATGTCACATCTGGCAATGGCGTGCACACGGCTCTTTACCGAGCTTGACCTTGGGCCTGGCAGGGCTGGATAACCACGTGCCTTCCATTTTCAGGATGCTTTCGAGCAGGGCCAGGTTTTCCTGGGAAGCAATGAGCAGGGGTATGAAGTATGCGAAGACCTGCCCAGGGGCATCCGAGGGAATCGCTGGAAGGTTGGACTCACTGTCATCACTCCAGAGCGGAAGTTCATCTTCACCTGCCCCAGTGAGAAGGAACAGCAAGAATGGCTGGAGAGTCTGCAGGATGTCCTGTCCAGTCCCCGGTCGCCCCTCCACCTCCTCAGTAAGAAGCAGGCGGGAGGGGGGTGCTTGGGGGTTCCTTTGGTTGAGGGCAGAAAAGGGCTCTGTCACTGTGGTCCCGGAAGGGCCTGACTCAGCGTTTGGAGTTGCCCTTACTTCCTGCCAGAGAAAAGCACACGCATTGCACATTCTTGCCAGAAAGTCCCCTCTGCACCAAGTTCCTCTATGCAACTGTCCTCATGAGCTTCAGGTGGAGTCTGGCCCCAGCAGAACTGTGGAGGCTGGCAATACCAAGCTCTCAAATTCCCCACACTGTTGTCCTTTTTCTCATATGTGCTGGCCTGGTACCCTTAGCAGAGGTGTCCCTGCCAGCCACCCTCCCAGGATTCTGGATTCCTCCCCACGCAGAAGGAAGGCTATTTTTAGTGTTCTCCCTGTCCTCAAGCCTTTATTCTGCTGTCTCCGTCCCCTGCTCCTTCTTTTCACCCCGCATGTGTCACAAGGAGACTGTTCCCCTTTGTTGACAACCCCATGAAAAGCAGAGATGTGCTGAGTTCAGGAGGAAGCATCTGGCCCAGAGCCGAGCTTCTGGAGCAGAAAGGAAAAAGTTCTCTGTTTGGAAAAGTACAGACTGAACAGGTGACCCCAACAGTCCCAGGGGGAAGCTCTTGTGCCTTCCTAGACTCACCAGTATAAACACAACTGTCAGACTGGAGAGATGGCTCAGCAGTTAAGAACACTGGCTGGTCCTCCAGTTCAATTCCCAGCAACTACATGGTGACTCACAACCTTCTATAATGGGATCTGGTGCCCCCTTCAGGCATGCAGGTATTCATGCAGGGCACTCATACATAAAAATTAAACTGTCACATCCTTGTATGGTGGGTAGCTAGTGCTGCCTTTAATCCCAGCACTTGGGAGGTAGAGGCAGGTAGAATTCTGTGAGTTCAAAGCCAGCCTAGGCTACACACTGGGTTCCAGGACAGCCAGGGTTACACAGTGAAACCCTGTCTCAAAAAACCAAAACCAAAACAAACACCCAACCCACAACTGTCTTCACTCACTGTCCAGTTCCCGAAGCCAAGGACACAGGAGGTAACTGAGGACACACTTCAACCTTGCACTCTGTCCTCTCTGCGCCCGACGCTCTGGGTCTCTGCCCTGCTTCCCTCTTCCCTTTTCTCTATGTGTCTGCCTCCTGTCTATGTCCTTCAGTCTCTTTTTCCTGTTTATTCTCATGTAAAGTTTCTCTTTGCTCTCAGTGTTGCTCTGATCCCTCTGTCATGGCACCTTTGTCCCCCTGGCTATGCCTTCCTTGCTGCAGGACCTCACTAGCACCGCCTCCTTACCCACCTTCCTGCTTCCCTTCAGCCACATCAGCAGAGAGTGCCTGTGGCCTCAGGTGACCCATCTCGGAAGAGTCGGCTGGCCACCGAGCACCTGAAATCCCCGAGAAGTGTTCACCTCTGCCCTGGTTGTCCAGAAGGAAGCCCCAAGACCAGCAGCTGCTGCTCCTGTCAGTGAACTCTGTCAAGATCGAGGGTGTGGTTTATCTTGTGGCTCCCAGGATCCTTCCAGCAAACATTTCCCAGTCTTGGGGAGCTGGTACTGAGAAGAATGTAGCTCTCCAAGCTTAGAAGACCTGAAGGCTTTCTCATATTTGCACCGAGAGCAGGGTGTAGTGATGCATGCCTGTGGAGAGGCAGGAGTGCCATGAGTTTGATGCCAGCTTGGACCATACAGGGAGTTCAAGTGCAGCCTGAGCTGCATAGCAAGACCTTGTTTCGAAAAACAAAGACAAAAACAAGCAAACAACAACAAAATCTACAGAGAGGGAGTAGAAACATTGCAATATAAAAAACACCCTCAGCATCAAGATTATGCAAGTAGAAAAAAAATGTAAATGTTTAATCTGAACCTAACTATGAAGAAATAATAAGATCTTTCAATATTACTTACATGTTGATATACAACTAGCCTGGACTTTTCAAATATCAATATTAAAAGATAAAATTGGCCATACATGGCAATACATGCCTTTAGGCCCTTGCACTCAGCAGGCAGAGAGAGGTAAATCTCTGTTGTTCAAGAGCAGCCTGGTCTATATATCAAGTTCCAGGACAGCCAGAGTTATATAGAGAGAACTTGTTTCACAAAACAGAGGGGAGGGGAAGAAAGACAGACAGACTAAAGACAGGGCTAGTGGTACCTATAATTTTTGCATTGGGGAACTGGAGGCCAGAGGATCAGAGGTTCTGCTATTATCCATAGAGAGCTCAAAGCTAATGAGACCCTGATTCAAAGGAGAACAAACAAAAACCACAAATTAGGGCTGGAGCGGTGGCTCAGCAGTTAAGAGCACTTGCTGCTCTTCCCAAGGTCCTGAGTTCAATTCCCACAACCACATGGTAGCTCACAACCATCTGTAATGGGATCTGGTGCCCTCTTCTGGCCTGCAGGCATACACGCAGGCAGAACAGTATACATAATAAACAAACAAACAAACAAACAAACAAAACCTCCCAAAAGCCAATACCAAAACATGGTAACCAAATACAGTTGGGAAAATAAGAGAAGCCCAGGCTGGAGAGATGGCTCATGATTAAGAGCACTGAGTGCTCTTCCAGAGAACCTGGGTTCAAGTCCCAGCACCCACATGGCAGCTCACACCTGTTTGTAACTCTAAGATCTGACACCCTCGCACAGACATACATTCAGGCAAAGCAGCAGTGTACATAAAAATCATAAAAATAATTTTAAAAAGAGAGGCATTGGAGTTGGAGAGGTGGCTCAGCAATTAAGAGCACTGACTGCTCTTCCAGAGGACCCAGGCTCAATTCCCAGCACCTTCTTGGTAACTTACAACTGTAATTCCAGTTCCAGGGGATCTGATACCCTCACACCATACACATGAAATAAAACAAAATGATTTTTTAAAATCCACTGTAAAGGACATAATTGATGTCGGAGCAATTAGGATCTGGATGTCGATCAGCTAACAGTATTGTAAAATTGTGATACGTGTGTGTATAAAGTGTTCCTGTTCTCAGGGGATGCGCGCTGAAGTAAAATGGAAATGATGTCTGCAGCCAACTTTTAAATGGTTCAGCTAAAAAAGGATCAGTATATGTCGACATGCACACAAATAGCATGCACATGTGTACATATCTATGTCTGTCTGCACAGAGCACAGCACTGATGAATCCAGGCGAAGTGTAGATGAGCATTTATTTTCTTACTTGTGATCATTTTTTATAGATTTGAATTTTCATATTAAAAAGTTGATAAATCGCCCAGTTGTCACTCTTGAAAAGCAAAGGTTTTCCTTCCGGAATCCAATATCCATGGAGCCGGGCGTGGTAGGTACATCTTCAGATCACGTAGACAGGGGTTTCGGCAGGACCGCTGGAGCCAGAGGGTCTGGGAGCGTCCTAGGCAACCTGATGAGAGAGTGTCTCAGATTTCCTAGAAGGGGCTGGAGAGACAGCTCAGTGGTAGAACGTGTGCTTGTGTTGTGCCAGGAACAGTGGTGACCAAAATTATTTACCAAACTAGAACAGATAGAAAAAGATTAAATAGGGGCTGGAGGGATGGCTCAGTGGTTAAGAGTACTGGCTGCTCTTCCAGAGGTCCTGAGTTCAACTCCCAGCAACTACATGGTGGCTCACAACCATCTGTAATAAGATCTGTTTTTTTTTTTTTTTAAATATTTATTTATTTATTATGTATATAATATTCTGTCTGTGTGTATGTCTACAGGCCAGAAGAGGGCACCAGACCTCATTCCAGATGGTTGTGAGCCACCATGTGGTTGCTGGGAATTGAACTCAGGACCTTTGGAAGAGCAGGCAATGCTCTTAACCACTGAGCCATCTCTCCAGCCCATAAGATCTGTTTTTTGTTTTTGTTTTTTTTTTCCCCCCGAGACAGGGTTTCTCCGTAGCTTTTATGGTTCCTGTTCTGGAACTAGCTCTTGTAGACCAGGCTGGCCTCGAACTCACATAGATCCGCCTGCCTCTGCCTCCCAAGTGCTGGGATTAAAGGCGTGCGCCACCACCGCCCGGCTTGTAATGAGATCTGGTGCCCATTTTTAGCGTGTGGGCATACCTGGAGGCAGAATGTTGTATACATAAATAAATAAATAAATCTTTAAAAAAAAAGATTAAATAAAATGCTGCCAGAGAGACAAAGACTTGGAGAACTCTCAGAGAGGAGTCCTCTGCTGCCCAAGGAAAGGGCGTTCCTTGATCACCTCTCCTGTGCTGGTTGTGTGTGGATATCTGGGCGGATAAATGACATCTCTCTCTCCATCTTGATAACTAGTCCATTTACAGCGCTGTGGCTGTGGAGCTTCTTGAGACTGGCTATTCACGGGTCATTAGAGTTAAGCTCTAAATGTTTGTATAAGGAATTGCAAGTCATTGGGGACAGGGACAGGCTCCAAGCAGTCAGGATCTGGTCGTTAAAGTGTGGGAATTTCTCCTTTTAGTTTTAGCCCCCTCCCCCACCCCCACCTCCACTATGCTTCGAATACTTCCATCATTAGCACTTAAATAAGCAAAATAATAATTAGTTTTCCCCAAGAGGGTTGGAGAGACGGCTCAGTGTTTAAGAGCACAGAGGACTGTAGTTCCTAGCGCCCACATAGAGGCTCACAACCGTAACTCCAGTTCCTTGGGATCCATCGCCCTCTGCTGGCCGCCTTAGGCACTGTATGTACAAGGCGCGCTTACATACATGCAGATCAAATATATACACATACAACAAAAATAAATCTTTTTAAAAGATTTTTTTTTATTTTTGGTTTTTCAAAACAGAGTTTCTCTGTATAGCCCTGGCTGTCCTGGAACTCCCTCTTTAGATCAGGCTGGCCTCTTCGAACTCAGCGATCCGCTTGCCAGTGCTGGGATTAAAGGACTACCGGCTAAAATATAGATTTTAAAAAGTTCCTCAGAGAATTTCATTTTTGTGCACACTTGAGAAGAGATAGAAACACAGATAATGAGAAAATGATGCCATCTTCATTATCACAGCGCTTTGGGGAAAGAAAGCAGGCTGGGGAGTTATCTGGGTCCAGTTCTGTCTTTCGCTTGAGAACACAAGAAAAGTCCCTTCACTACTTGCCTTACTTTCTATATTTAAAATGAGGAAGTCGGGGAAGTTGGATGGCTCAGCAGTTAAGAGCACTTTCTGTTCTCCCAGAGGATTTGAATTCCCAGCAACCACATCAGACAGCTTGCAAGTACCTGTGACTTCAGCTCCAGGAGGAATCATCCCCTCTGGCCTTCATGGGCGCACACATGTTTAAAAATTAGTTTTGACCTTATTTTTAAGAAAGAATAAGAGGAATCTACACTGATTGTCGAAATTCAATGTAAGTTACCTGCATTTCATCACTTGCCAAGTGCTGGGCTGAGCCCCACTTACTAAGCCGGTGAGAGCAGGTGGTCCCTGCTGTTGCACATAGCAGCCTGCAGGGGGCAGCAAGTGGCGATGGGTGTGTGGCAACCAGCCAACAGGAGCGTAGGGGGCGAGAAAGTGACGTTAAAGCTGAAAATGTCCAAACTGTGTAGAGGCTAATCAAAGGGAAGGGGTGAGGAAAATAACTAAAGTTGAGGAAAGAGAATGCTCAAAGGCAGGCTGTCGTCAAATTTACAGAGATCTGCCTGTCTGTCTCCTGAGTGCTGGGATTACAGACGTGTACCTTCAGGTCTCGTGAGTCTCTGAATCTACTGGACTTCCCTGAATTCCCCAAAGAAGCAGCAATACAAATTCTGGATGTCTCTTTCCAGAACGAAGCTCGCTGGGGAGGTGGGTCCTGTCTAGCTACTAAAATTCTTTGACTTTATTGGCTGCAGTGCCTGCTGGAGAAGTGATTCTCAAACTCTGGGTCGCAACCCCGTTGGCAAACCTTTATCTCCAAAAATATTTTCATTGCGATTTATAAATAGTACCAAAATTGCAGTTATGAAATAGCAACGAAAATAATTTTATGGCTGGGGATCACTACAACACGAGGAAATGGACTAGAGGATCGCATCCTTAGGAGGACTGAGACCTATTGTAGAGCGCGCATTAAGAGCCACTGGGCTGCCTTTTCCACCACTGTGCACTCCTTGGGGTCTACGTGGCTAAGTTCTCGGATGGGGGAAATGAGTAGAGGCACAGCTCCGGTGCTCAAGGAACTCACCACCTCAAAGGGCAGGAAATAAGCAGTAATACAGCTGATTGATTACAAGGGAGGGGGGCTTCTGTGTGGGTGTGTTCCTCAGAGCAACAGGCGAGGACAGACAAGAAAGCCCAGTGAGATACAGCACATGGTCTGGCCCGGCTCCTGACCTCTGTCTGAATCCCCCTCTGTCTTGGTCTCTGAGGTTATCTCTTTATTTTATTATTTTACTCATTTATTTTTTTTTATTAAATATTTATTTATTTATTTATTAAGTATACAATATTCTGTCTGTGTGTATGTCTGCAGGCCAGAAGAGGGCACCAGACCTCTTTACAGATGGTTGTGAGCCACCATGTGGTTGCCGGGAATTGAACTCAGGACCTTTGGAAGAGCAGGCAATGCTCTTAACCACTGAGCCATCTCTCCAGCCCCCCATTTATTTTTAAGCAGAGAAAATGTAGATTTTTTTTTAAAAAGGAAAAATGAGGAAAGAACTTCCAAGAGTAGAAGAGGTCTCCAAAGCAAAAAAATGCCATTTTTCCCCTTTGTGTTTATTAGATGTTACTACTGTGTGCATGTTTGTATGTGTGAGGGAGTGTGTGTCACAGCACACATGTTTTAAGAAGACAATCCTGTGGGGTTGCTTCCTCTTTGCCCCTTTCTGTGGGTTCCAGGACCACATTCCTGTGTCAGGCTTCACAGTGAGCACTTCACTCACAGCCATCTCACCAGGCCCATTTTATTCTTTTTTTTAAACAAATTTTTAAAAATGTATTTATTTATTATGTATACAATATTCTGTCTGTGTGTATGCCTGCAGGCCTGAAGAGGGCACCAGATCTCATTACAGATGGTTGTGAGCCACCATGTGGTTGCTGGGAATTGAACTCAGGACCTTTGGAAGAGCAGGCAATGCTCTTAACCTCTGAGCCATCTCTCCAGCCCCACTTTATTCTTTTTTGTATTGCTTTTTGTTTGTTTGTTTGTTTTGCTTTTTCAAGACAGAGTTTCTCTGTAGCTTTGGAGCCTGTCCTAGAACTCACTCAGTAGACCAGGCTGGCCTCAAACTCACAGAGATCCCGCCTCTGCCTCCTGAGTGCTGGGATTACAGGCATTTGCCAGCACTTTATTCTTTGAGAGAAGTTCTTATGCATTCCGGGCTGACCTCCAACTGACTGCGTAGCTAAGGACAGCCTTAAACTTCTGCTCCTCTTCCCTTACCTGAGTGCTGAGATCACAGGCCTGTGGAACCATGCTGGAGATCAAACCCGAGGCTTCAGGCACACACGGGGGTGAGCGTTCTACCAACTGCTTCCCATCGCTAGCCCACCAACCCCCTTTTTAACTTGAACAACAGATGAATTTGATCAGACAGACAGCTTTTATTTAAAGGGTAAGTATTCTTCATCAATTTAATGAGCTCAATAGACACCTCCAAACATTCAAACGTATTTCAAACATGTAAGATAAAATCCTCCCAAAAATATTAGACTGCCAAGGGTGTATTGAAATGAACAATGCTCTAATTTTTCTTTCTGAATATATCAAGTTAAACAAGAGTATCTCTAAGTAAAAGCTTAACTGGTTGAATTGAGAGTCACTCGACAAGCCTTAGAAAAGGGATTTTTGGCATGATTTCTCAAAAATAAAAATAGTGAGTTTTGTTTGTTCATTTGCTTGCTTACTTCCTTGGTTGTCTGGTTTTTCTATTCATTCATTTATTCATTTATATACTTATCCATTCATTCACTTGTTTATTTATTTGTTGGTTTGTCAAAGCAGAGTTTCTTTGTGTAGTCCTGACTGTCCTGGAACTAGCTCTGTAGACCCTGCTGGCCTGGTTTTGTTTTTGTTGGCACAGATCTCCGAAAATGAAATACGACACCGAGTAGGTGCAACCCTAAAATGAGTTCCTGAAGCGAACCCTCTTCATAGCTTAAGTTGTTAGGGTTGCATGTTGATGGATAGATGAGCCAGAAGATTGAGAGAAATGACTTTCCAGGCTGGAGGACAGCCTGCGCTTTTAGAGGCTGGGAACACTGCGAGCGGCTGGGCGGGGCGAAGCTGGGGAAGTGGGTGGGGCGTAGCGGAACCTTACTGGGCATCCTGGCCACCGCCCAGTATGGCGGCCCTTGCCCTAGGCGGTGCAGTCCCTGTGTGGCTGAGCGAGGAGGACCTGAGCTGCATTATCTGCCGAGAGTTGCTGGACTGGCCCACCACGCTGCCCTGCGGCCACAGCTTCTGCTACCAGTGCCTCGATGACTTGTGGGTCAAGCAGCGCGCCGGCGTGGGTGGCCGCCCCTGGGCTTGCCCTACCTGCCGGGAGGCCCTGGAGGCGAAGCCCACGCTGCGCAAGAACCCGCTGCTGCAGGACCTGGCGGACAAGTACCGCCACGCGGCGCTCGAGCTCGAGCCTGGCCCCGAAACCGCGCCCGTTCCGCCGCGTCGCCCCGCGCCGCCGCCGGTAGGAAGCCCGTACCGCTCTGGCAGTCCGCGTGCGCCCTCTTGGGCCTCTCCTGCCTTCCCGATCTCTTCTTCCGCTACGTGATTTAATCCGTGTAATCTTTGAAAAGTTCAGAGTTGTATAAAGAAGCTGAAAAGTCCGGCGTGGAGAATGCACGCCTGTAATCCCAGGATTTGAGAGGCAGAAAACAGGGACATGCCCCACACCATCCAGATCTCCGTAGTAAGGTCTGGTCACAAGCAATAGTTAAAAATCTCACAAGTAATAGTTATTCTAAATCCCATCTCACCGAGATGTCGTGCACCCTTCCATATTACCATTTTTTTTTTCGCCAGCTTTTCTGTGGTGTCTGAAAATTTTTAGTGTGGTAGAATATATTTAATTTTTTATTATATATGTGTATATATATTATATATACTCACCATAAAATTTGCCACTTTAGCACTATTTAATTCTACTTATTTATTGAGACAGGCGCTAACTAGTGTAGACCACGCTGGCCTTGAACCTGAAGTGAGTGATGACCCGTGCCTGCCTTACCTTTCCAAGTCTGCGATTACAGGTGTGGAGCACCTGAACTCAGAGCTCTGCTTGCCTCCGCTTTTCAAGAGCTGGCATTAAAGGCATATGCCACCATGACGGTCCAACGATTTGCACAACTTTTTTAGTGTACAGTTCGATGGCATTTGTCACCTCTCCGATACTGTGCTTCTGTCACCGCTGTTTCCAAAGCAATTTCATCACCACAAATAGAACCTCTGTACCTCCTAAGCAGTAACACGTGATTCCTCCAGCCTCTGCACACGTCTCATCGTACCCGGCTTTTTCTTTTGAGTGACCAATCAGCTCTCAAATCATGACATGGAGCCTTTTTAGTTTTTTATTTTTGGTTTTTCGAGATAGGGTTTCTCAGTGTAAGAGTCCTGGATGTTGCTATCCTAGACTTCGCTTGTAAACCAGGCTGGCCTCGAACGCAGAGAGATCCGCCTACCTCTGCCTCCCAGGTGTTGGGATTAAAGACGTGCGCCACCACGCCTGGCCTGCTTGTCTTTTTCTACCTTTCGCCTCAGGGCTTTTTACTTTTTTTTTTTTTTTTTTTGGTTTTTCGAGACAGAGTTTCTCTGTGGTTTTGGAGCCTGTCCTGGAACTAGCTCTTGTAGACCAGGCTGGTCTCGAACTCACAGAGATCCGCCTGCCTCTGCCTCCCGAGTGCTGGGATTAAAGGCGTGCGCCACCACCGCCCGGCTACTTGTCTTCTTTTTATCTTACTTTCCACTGCTTCTCTTGTTTAGTTGGCTGCTTGGCTTCTTGGTTCTTGCCTTGGGTCGGCTGTTCAGTTGGTGGGTAGCTCGCTTGCTCTCTCTGCCTGCCAGCCCTGCATTTCCTTTCTTGCCTAGATCTTGCCCATTCAGCTCCTTATTAGACCAACCAGGTGCCTTAGGCAGGCAAGATGAAACAAATGCAACACATGTTTACATAATTAAACACATCTTTACATTGTTAAACAAATGCAGCATAAACAAATGTAACACATCTTTATACAGTTAAAATAAATATTCCGCAGCAGAAACAAATGTAACACATGTTTACCTAGTTGAAATTGTATTCCACAACAATCTATTTTATGTCTCTGAATTTACCTATTCTACATGTTTCATATAAATGGGGCTCTTCCATGTCCCCTTGTGTCTGACTTCTTTCATCCCAATAATATTTTCTGGGCTGATTCATGTTGTAGCATGTATCAGCACATCCTTGCTTTAGGTCACTGTCTTATCATTTGTGTGGCTATATCACTAATCAATTTATCTAGCAATGAACATTTGAATTACTTCTACATTCGACTATTATAACTATGGCTACAATGTACATTATCTTACAACTGAGTTCCTATTTTCAATTTTACTGTTACAATTTTACTCAGTTCGGGACTGATCTGAGGGCCTCAGATGTACCGGGCATGCACTTTCCCCCAGCCTCCTCATTTGATTTTCTATATAGTGTTAGGTAGCATCTAACTTCAAGCAGGGCATGGTGGCAAATTCCTTTAATCCCAGTACTCAGGAGGCAGAGACAGCCAGATCTCTATGAGTTTCAGGTCAGCCTGGTCTACATAGAAAGCTCCAAGACAGCCAGGACTGTCCTAAAATCAATCCAAAGAATCTAGCCTCATTCATTGGTATACAGATACACATTTCTAGTAGTATTTGCTGAAAAGACTGTGCCTTTAAGCAGTCTTGGCATTATTTATTCATTTATTTATTTATTTATTTATTTATTTATTTATTTATTATGTGTACAGCATTCCTTCCATGTGTGCCCGCAAGGCAGAAGGGGGTGCCAGGTCTCATTATAGATGGCTATGAGCCACCATGTGGCTGCTGGGAATTGAACTCAGGACCTCTGGAAGAGCAGTCAGTGCTCTTAACCTCTGAGCCATGTCTCCAGCCCCCCAGGTCTTGGCATTCTTGTAAAAATTTATCTTCGGGTACATCTGAAGATTTGTTTCTTGACTCTCTAGTCTTTGCCATCACTCTGAATGTTCTCTTTCATGCTGCTGCCGTGGCATGGATAGCTCCCTTTATTGAGTGGTGGTCCTGGGTCCAGTTTTTAGAAATCAGAAACCCCGTTTTGCTCTTCTAAAGGTGACAGTGCAGAAAAGCACCACGGAAGAAGTCATCCAGAAGCTGACAGAACTGGTGCGACAGCTTGTGGATGTTGTCAAGAGCCTTCCAACGCAAAGTCCTCTGGGGGGATCCGGACCGGACAATGAACGAGGCATCCTGGGCATGGTAGGTTCAGGTGGGAAAGGAAGGGCCAGGGTGAAGGACCGCTTCCAGCTAGAGCAGTCTGAGACATGGAATCAAGGAAAGCAACAGGTCTCACGCTTTACTATTTCTTTTTCTTTCTTTCTTTCTTTCTTTCTTTCTTTTTTTTTTTTTGTTTTTGTTTTTTGAGACAGGGTTTCTTAGTAACTTTGGAACCTGTCCTGGAACTAGCTCTTGTAGATCAGGCTGGCCTCAAACTCACAAAGATTCTTCTGCCTCTGCCTCCCGAGTGCTGGGATTAAAGGCCAACCACTGCCCGGCCCCATTCAGTGACTTCTTAAAAAATATTCTATAATCGTATGGAAGAAAGAGTTTGTGTGTATGTGGGAGAGAGTGTGTGTAGCGGAGGGTGTGTGTGTGCAAGCAAGAGCATGTGTAGGGGAGGGTATCTGTGTGCAAGCGAGAGCATGTGTGTGTAGGGGAGGGTGTGTGTGTGCAAGCGAGAGCATGTGTGTGTAGGGGAGGGTATCTGTGTGCAAGCGAGAGCATGTGTGTGTAGGGGAGGGTGTGTGTGTGCAAGTGAGAGCATGTGTGTTTAGGGGAGGGTATCTGTGTGCAAGCGAGAGCATGTGTGTGTAGGGGAGGGTGTGTGTGTGCAAGTGAGAGCATGTGTGTGTAGGGGAGGGTATCTCTGTGCAAGCGAGAGCATGTGTGTGTGCAAGCGAGAGCATGTGTGTGTAGGGGAGGGTGTGTGTGCAAGCGAGAGCATGTGTGTGTAGGGGAGGTCAGAGCACACCTTTCAGGAGACTGTTCTCATTTTTCACTGTAGGTCCCAGGGGTTTAACTCAAGGCATCAGCAGGCTTGTGCAGCAAGCACCGCCCCCTTTCTCCTTTAGTAATGGGATCTTGTTGTGGCTTGTTACCTCTTGCTTCTTGGGCAGCTTCATGGTGTCTGCCTGACTCCGCCTTCTTTCTCCCTGTATTCAGTTTAGTTTCCCGCCTACCTGTATTCTTCCCTGCCATAGGCCACAGCAGCTTCTTTATTAACCAATGGTAATAAAACATATTCATAGCATATAGAGGGGAATCCCACATCATGTGATACATATATACAAATAGATAGGCAAAACATTCATAAACATAAAATAAAAAAAATAAATGTTCTGGGTGGTGGTGATGGTGCATGATTTTAATCCCAGCACTTAGGGGGTAGAAGCAGGTGGATCTCTGTGAGTTTGAGGCCAGCCTGGTCTACAGAGCTAGTTCCAGGACGGCCAGGGCTGCACAGAGAAACCATGTCTTGAAAAAACATTGTGAAAAAAAAATACTCCAGTATCATGATTTTTGTTTTGAGACAGAATCTTACTTTGTAGCCTAGGTTAACCTTGAACTCATAGCAGTCTTCTTGCTTCAGGACTTCTTTAAAAAAAAAATTTAAAAGATTTATTTATTTATTATGTATACAGTATTCTCAGTACTCTGCCTGCAGGCCAGAAGAGGGCACCAGATCTCATTATAGATGGTTGTGAGCCACCATGTGGTTGCTGGGAATTGAACTCAGGACCTTTGGAAGAGCAGGTGGTACTCTTAACCTCTGAGCCATCTCTCTAGCCCCCTTCAGGACTTTTTAAAAAAAAATATTTATGCAGGAATCTTAAGTGCTTGAGTTATAAACATGACTCACTGCATTCTGCTAGGGAATATTATTTGTTTTTATGTGTATGGTGTTTTATCTGCATGGATGTCTGTGCCCATAGGCATGCCTAGTGCCTATGGAGGCGGCCATGTGGGCCCTGGGAGCTAAACCCAGGTTCTAGAAGATCAGCCATTGTTCTTCATCATTGAGCCATCTCTCCAACCCCTAATTTTTTTTTTATTTTTTTTTTATTTTTTTTTTTTGTTTTTTTTCGAGACAGTGTTTTTCTGTGGTTTTGGAGCCTGTCCTGGAACTAGCTCTTGTAGACCAGGCTGGTCTCGAACTCACAGAGATCCACCTGCCTCTGCCTCCCGAGTGCTGGGATTAAAGGCGTGCGCCACCACTGCCCGGCTTAATTTTGTTTTTAAAAGCCTGTTTGCACTCGGGAGGCAGAGGCAGGCGGATCTCTGTGAGTTCGAGACTAGCCTGATCTACAGAGCTAGTTCCAGGACAGGCTCCAAAGCCACAGAGAAACCCTGTCTCGAAAAAAAAAACAAAAACAAAAACAAAAGCCTGTTTGGACTTAAATGAAACAAAACAAAACTGTGGCTGGAAGGTGGCTCTTGAGTGTATTTGATGAGTTCCATAGTTGGCTTTTCTTTACTTGTTTCCTCGTTGATCAATAGGCTTCTTCCTCTGAGAAGGAACATTCCTTGAGTTCTCCAAAGGCAGTAGCGTCCAGTGCCTCCGAGAGGAAAATTCGAGAGATTCTTCATAACTTAGAAGAAATTCAAGAAAAACTGCAAGGCGGAGTCACATGGAAAGAAGCTTCTGGAGAACAAGTTCCCGGTGAGCTGAGGGAGCCGGACTGACTAAGAGAGTTGGGTGCTGTAAACGGAGAATGTGCTTTTGTTTCTCGGCCGCCCAGATCTGAATAATCACAGAGCTATATTAATTACAACACTGCTTGACCAATGGCTCAGACATATTCCTAGGTAGCTCTTACATCTTAAATTGACCCATTTGTATTAATCTATCGCCTGTGGCTTACTGGTATCGGTGGCTACATGGTGTCTCCTTGACTCCGCCTACTCTCTCTATATATCTATGTTCGGATTTCCCGCCTGACATTACTCTGCTAAGCCATTGGCCGAAACAGCTTTATTCATCATCCAACAAAAACAACACATATACAGAAGGACATCTCACATCAGGATAGAATGGCCAAGTGCCCCTGGCTTTGTCCTTTGGGGACAGGACCTAGAGCATGTCTGCTTTTTTCTGTGGCGGTGTTGAGTAGGAATAGGCTGAGGTATGGTCGCGGCTGTGGACAGTTTGGGATATGGACATAAGGGATTTTTCTGTAGCATAGGCCCCGAGTAAAGCAAAACTCCCGTTTTTAAGACTCGTGACCCTGGATCCCAGCACGTGGCTCATCTTTACTGTTTGCCGGAGGAGTTTGCAGATAGGCTGATTTGGACTTTTTGTTTTCATTTCTACTTACATATGTGGTGGTGGTGGTGGAGGGCATGTGCCTGCCACAGCTCCCACGTGGAGGGAAGTCAGGCGACAACTTGCAGAAATGGTTCTCTTCTTACCCCTTGTGTGATCTGGGAATCAGCTCAGGCTGTTGGGCTTGGCAACACGAGCCTTTGCCCATTGAGCCATCTCTGGTCCCTGCTATCACTGTTTTAGTTCTAATTCCTTTGTGTAGGTGTTTGCCCGCATGTATGTCTGTGCACCCGGTATATGTCTCGTGTCCTCAAAGGTCAGGAGAGGGTGAGAGTGTCAGGGTCCCTGGGGCTGGACTTAGGGATGGTTGTGAGCATGTGGGTGCTGGGGACCAAACCAAGGTCTTCAACCAGAGCAACAGTGCTCTCAAGCTGAGCGGTGGTGGCGCACGCCTTTAATCCCAGCACTTGGGAGGCAGAAGCAGGCGGATCTCTGTGAGTTCAAGGCCAGCCTGGTCTACAAGAGCTAGTTCCAGGACAGGAACCAAAAAGGTTCAGAGAAACCCTGTCTCGAAAATGAAAAAAAAAAAAATACAGTGCTCTCAACTGCTGAGCCATCTCTTCAGCCCCCTCGCCAGCCCCTGTTCTCATTTTTGAGATGAGGTCTTTTTATGTTGCCCAGGCTGGCCTCAAACACTAGACTTAGGCGACTTTTCTGCCTCCAGAGTAGCTGGACCACACATGTCTTCTACCTCCTCTAGCTGCTTTTTATTTTGTGTCTTTTTAAATTTTTTTTCAACAAGGCTTTTCTGTGTAGTCCTGGCTGTCATGGAACCCACTCTGTAGACCAGGCTGACCTCAAACTCAGAGATCCACCTACCTCTGCTTCTTAAGTGCTGGCATTAAAGGTGTGCTCCACCACTACCCAGCCTTATGTCTTTTTAAAAAACAAACATATATATATATGTGTGTGTGTGTGTGTGTGTGTGTGTGTATGTATATGTGTGTGTATGTATATATATATATATATAGTGTATGTGTACATGTCTGTGATCTTGTGTACACACTTGCCACAATATGTGTGTAGGTAAAAAGATAATTTTGGAAAGATAATTCTCTCCTTCCATCCTGTGGGGATTGAAATGAGATCATCAGGCTTGGTGATGATCATCTCATCAGCCCTCTTTTTATTTTTTAATTAGTAAATGTTTTACTAACCAGACACGAAACTAAGCGTAGCAGTACATACCTCTAATCCCAGCACTTGGGAGGTAGAGATGGGCGCATCAGGAGTTCAAGGCCAATCTGGGGCACATAGAAAGATCCTGTCTCAAAAAGAGTGTGTGAGTAGGGGGTGGGGGGGAATAGTAGTAAGAAGGAAAAAAGTGTATAACTATATAATTCTTTTTGTTTGTTTATTTTTGCTTTTTTGAGACAGAGTCTCTCTTTGTAGTCTTGTCTTGGAGTTTGCTACTTCTTGATACATACTATCAAAAATACAGTTTTGGGAGGGGTGGGGAGTGGGAGGGGTGGCTCACGCCTTTAATCCCAGTACTGGGGGGGGGGGCAGAGACAGGCAGATCTCTGTGAGTTCCAGGCCAGCTTTATATACATATATACATATATATATATATACTTTATATACTAGCTTTATATACTTAAGAATATATATCTTATTATAGCTGTTCCTAACTGTTCATTATATTTACAGTATTTGCATGGTTGTAGTACCCATCTTGATGAAGCTTTTTCTTTTTCTTTTTTTAAATATTTATTTACTTATTATGTATACAATATTCTGTCTGTATGTCTACAGGCCAGAAGAGGGCACCAGATCTCATTATAGATGGCTGTGAGCCACCATGTGGTTGCTGGGAATTGAACTCAGAACCTTTGGAAGAGCAGGCAGTGCTCTTAACCTCTGAGCCATCTCTCCAGCCCGATGAAGCTTTTTCATCTTGCAGAATGCAGAAGTGAATCTTTATTTCCATCTGGCAGCTCTGTATTCTCCCATTCTCCAGCCTCTGGCAATTTGATTCTACCTTTACCTTTTTCTTTCTTTTTTGGGGGGAGGTGTATGTGCGTTTTGTAGGGATGATCAAAACCAGGAGCTTCATGCATGCCAGGCATATGATCTATTGCTGAGTTACCCACTCAACCTCAAAGTATTTGTCTTTTTGTGGGTTTTTTTTTTTTTGATTTTCGAGACAGGGTTTCTCTGTGTAGCCCTGGCTGTCCTGGAACTAGCTCTGTAGACCCTAACTCAATGAATAAGCTGAAAGAGTGGTTGAGGGTGAGTCTCAGCATCAGTATCAGGCCTTCGCATGTCCCCATGTACACACACATGCACAAGCACCCACACACGCAAAAGTTTGCATATATACATGTACACACACCACACACATGAAAATGGAAAAAAAAGATTCAGGTGGAAGATTTCCCCTCTGCCATGCCATAGGGTTTCTCTCCCTTTCTCTGTTCCCTCTTTCCCATGGTCATTGTAGTCTAGCATATATAATTGCTTACGTTAATAATTAAACTTTGGAACAATGAGAGGAAGTTGGAGGTGTAAGCAGTTGACATGAACCTTACACCAGCCCAGGTTACCAGCTTATACAATGATGGTTTAGGGCTTTGACGGGGGGTTGTGAGTATTCTGGATATGAAGGGCTGTAATCCCCTGGAACTGTATTAATTTACCTGATAAATATGCATAAAACACTTTCTGTCTATGGGGTGTATAGGGGTCCTAATACTTAGAATATAGAGATGAATAAGATCTCTGCTAGCAAGGAGTTTGTGGCTTGTGGGAGAAACAGTTTAAAAAAAAAAGTCCCACAGTGATAACTTGGGGCTAGATATACTTGGTCAGAAAGTGGTGTCTGGCATAACCTGAACACCCAGAATACGCTAATGAGAAAGATTGCGGGCCTGTTCCTATATCATGACAGTTGAATACCTTCAGTTTGCCTTTTGCTAATGGGCCTTCCTCCTCCCAATTATTCTTTTAATTCCTAGAAATGCCATCTTCTTCCTTATGTCTGCTGCCTGTCCAAAGATGTCCTGTACCCAGGAGAGCTTCTCAGTTTGCCCTAAGTAAGTATGAGGTCCACTTCGGCACACTTTACTAGGATTAGGATATACTCAGTAGATCAGCCAGGTCAACACACTTACTAGGACTAACATAAAACTCAGTAGATCACACACTTTACTAGGACTAGGATATACTCAGTAGACAGAGTACTTTCCTAGCATGCACAAAGACCCCGGATTCAGTCCCCAGCACTGTATAGACCTGGTGTGATGGTATATATTCTTGTAGTCCTAGAACTAGGGAGAGAGAGGCAGGTGGATCAGTTTCAAACATATCCTTAGCTACATAGTTTGAGGCCAGCCTGGGCTACATGAGACTCAATCTGAAAAAAAAAAAGAAAACCTACTTATAAGCAGTAGGATTCAAGAATGTGCTGTGGCCACCTCCTTGCTGTGGGACCTAACCTTTGATTTTTATACTCTTGGACTTTTTTCTTCTAGACGAGGTCCCTCTGTATGGAGAGCTTAATATAAAGACAAAGATGATTTGAGAGTCCCAAATTCCAGGCTCAGCTAGGTCCTTGAACACTTAGATGCTGAACACATCCCTGCTGATGTCACCAGTTACAACTGCCTGCTTATTTCCCCACTTACATATATACTGTGTTGTCTCAGGCTAGTTGATCTTTAAGAGTGCATGCACCCTGGAGTCTTGAGTTTGTCTGCAGCACCTCTGTTAGACAGCTGTGCAGGCCTGGACAAGTCACCTCTTAGGGCCTCCGTTCTCTTATCTTTGCAGTGGTCATAACATGGTAGAGTTGGCTTATGACTAGAGGAGAGCTCGGGAGGGAGGGAGAGAAAGAAGTACCTGGAGTAGAGAAGACATGATATTCAGATATTAGCACTTAACAATAGGGACTGGGAGTGGGATTCAATAGTAGAGTATTGTCTAGTATGTGCAAGACCCTGGGTCTGATTCTCAGCACTAGACAGACAAGAAGCGGGGAGGAGAAAGGGAGGAAGGAAGGAGATATTACATATAGATGAATAACACATAGACCTGGGCATAGATAGCTATCATACTCACAAAGTACAGGTATTGAAAAAACTAAGAATGACCTTGTACTGCATGGGATTCAGAGATAGCTTCTGGATGGGAGGTAAAAACAATAAAAGCAGCCGAGCGGCGTGGCACATGCCTTTAATCCCAGCACTCGGGAGGCAGAGACAGGCAGATCTCTGTGAGTTCGAGGCCAGCCTGGTCTACAAAAGTCAGTTTCAGGACAGGCTCCAAAGCTACAGAGAAACCCTGTCTGGAACACCCCCCCCCCAAAAAAAAAAACAATAAAAGCAGGAACAGGGTATTGATTATACAACATGAAGGTTATGTAGAGCTTTCTCCAAGTTTATGTATCAATTTAACCTAAACACTACCCCAAAAGATACAATGTTACTTCTTGCTAGTCAGTAAATGACTTCCAGCAAGGATGGTCAAAAACTAAGTATCCCTGACTGGACGGATGGCTCCGTGGTTAAGAGCACTGGCTGCTCTTCAGAGGACCCAGGTTTGATTCCTAGCACCAACTTGGTGTCTCATAATGGTCTGAAACTCTAGTCCCAGAGGATCTAATACACTCTTCTTGACTTTGTGGGCATTGCATGCGTGTGCTGCACAGACATCCATGCCGGCAAAATACCCATACGTACAAATGGAAAAATAACTGACTGTCATGTTCTTGTGGTTCATGTCTCCCCAGGGGCCATCAGTCCAACCTTTGACCTGAGGAGCCTCTCCTGTATCCTGGAGGTTTCCAACAGTTGCCGGACGGTGACTGTGTCGCGTTGTCCACAGCCCTATTCTTGGGGTTCAGAGAGATTTTTAATTAGCCAAGTCTTATGTTCCCAGGCCCTCTCTTCTGGCCAGAACTACTGGGAAGTGGACACTAGGAACTGCAACCACTGGGCTGTTGGGGTGGCTTCGTGGGGCATGAAGCGGGATCAGATGCTGGGAAGGACTATGGACTCTTGGTGCATAGAGTGGAAAGGGCCTGGCCAGTTCTCTGCTTGGGCTATGGTGAAGAAAACTGACCTTCACTTGGGCCGCCCTGAGGTTGTGGGCGTGTGGCTGGACCTTGAGCTGGGGAAGCTGGCCTTCTACTCAGTCTCTGCTCAGGAGAGGCTTCTGTATGAGTGTGAGGTCTCTGCCTCCTCCCCTCTGCATCCTGCCTTCTGGCTGTATGGGTTAAGTCCCGGAAACTACCTGGAAATAAAGCAGGTAAACTCATGAAGCTTCCCCAGGGGTTAGAACACGGGCTTCCTAGTCTCTCTGTTTAGAGGCAACTAGAGCTAGGAAACTGAAGGAAATTGCATATGGTAGTACATGTCTGTAACCCTAGCACATGGGAAGCAGAGGCAGGGGGATCACTGCAAGTTTGAGGCTAACCTGGTCACCAAAATCAAGGCTAGCTTGGACTACATGGTATGGCTCCACCCACTTTTTTTTTTTTTTTTGGTTTTTTTGAGACAGGGTTTCTCTGTGGTTTTGAAGCCTGTCCTGGAACTAGCTCTTGTAGACCAGGCTGGTCTCGAACTCACAGAGATCCGCCTGCCTCTGCCTCCCAAGTGCTGGGATTAAAGGCGTGCGCCACCACCGCCCGGCAACTCCACCCACTTTTGAAGTTAGTCATTTTTGTGTGGGATAAGATTAACTAAACGGGTTTGTGCTCTTTGAACCTTGGGCATTTAAGAGAAAGAGCTGGCCTGGCCTGTCTCCTGAAGGTGACCTCTAAGGCCTTAGACTAGCTTGACTAATAAGCGGGACTTTGGACTATTCTGTCACTTAGGACTCATCTGGGTCTGACTGTTGGTTCAGTCACCCTGTGGTCAACGAGTCATGCTTACACGACTGACCCACCCCTAATTAAAAGCCCAGCCCCACAGCATAGCTGGGTAAACACCACTAGCTAGCATACACTAGATAAGTCCCCAAGTACCACTGTTGGGAGGACAGAGCACTGTCCAGTGACTTGTGAGAGGGAGACTTCCTGGATCCTACCTTGTGTGCCTTATCTATTGTTCCTGTTATTCTGTGGCCTTTCAGTGTAGTAAACCGAAATCATGAGTATCACAGCTGTGCTGAGTTCAGTGTGTTTTCAGAGTGATATTGGAAGCAGACCATTAAGGACACACAAAAAAAGTGCTCTATATTACTTAGCAATTGCTGTGTAATAATAGTTCCATGAATTAGTGCTTTAAAATAACACACAGGCTGCGGTGTAGCTTAGTGGTAGAGCCTTTACTCTGCACACACAAAGCCCTAAGTTCTGTTCTCAGTCTCTCTTGGTATTAGAACCAGGACTTGATGGTGGATTTGAACTTAATGATGGCTGTTACCCAGTGCAGTCACCTTGAAATTTTTTTTAAATTTGTTTTGTTTTTTGTTTTTGGGGTTTTTGTTTGTTTATTTGAGACAGGGTCTCTATATGTAGCCCTGACTGTTCTGGAACTCACTCTGTAGACCAGGATGGCCTCAGAACTCTAAGAGATCCACCTGTCTCTGCCTCTTGAGCACTGGGATTAAAGGTGTGTGGCACCACCGCCTGGCTTCTTCAATATTTATTATCAGGTTCTCTTGAAATTTCCATAGCAACTCAACCATGGATGAAAAATACTTAGAAAACAGCCAGGCATGATGGAGCAGACTTTAATCCCAGCAGGTAGAGGCAGGCAAGTCTCTGTGAGTTTGAGGCCAGCCTGGTCTACAGAGCGAGTTCTAGGACAGCCAGGACTGCCACACAGAGAAACTTTGTCTCAAAAAACAATGACAAAAAACCTTTAGAATAAATCATTACTGTACTGACCATCTGTGAACTTGTTGTCATTATTTCCTACATGGTATCACCTGAAGAAATTATATAATCCAAAGTGTTGTAAGTGATTAGCTTCCATGCAAACATCATGAATCTTCTATGAAGAACTTGAGAATCTTCCAATTTTGGTATGTGAGAAAACCCTGGAACCAACTCTGTCTATAGTGAGCGACAGCTAAATGTATACATTTGTATATGTGTATATACATACATACACACACATATACACATATATATCTTTTTCTCATTACTGTCTTGGGGTATATTTAATTTTAATGATTTCTTCTCAGGAATAAGCAAAAAATATCAAATTACTATTCATTGAATTTTTTTGTTTTTCACAAATGTCTTGTGACCTACATAGTTTTGAGAATCATTGGTTGGTACATCTAAGTTAACAAAAAAAATTTTTTTAAGAGGTAACTTTTGAAAATATTTATTTATTATGTATACAATATTCTGTCTGTGTGTATGCCTGCAGGCCAGAAGAGGGCACCAGACCTCATTACAGATGGTTGTGAGCCACCATGTGGTTGCTGGGAATTTAACTCAGGACCTTTGGAAGAGCAGGCAATGCTCTTAACCTCTGAGCCATCTCTCCAGCCCCCTTAACAAAAAATTTTAATGTGTCTAAGGTGATTAAAATTTATACTCAGATTTCTAGTGTTGTGGGTAAGGTAACCACTTTGCCCTCAGGAAGACAGAGAAGTCAGCAAATGAATTCGGAGTTCACAATGAGCTGCTATCTGTAGCACGTGAGCCCCACACTCCACATCAAGCAATATGATGAATTCTTTGCCAGCGTTGTTTTCTTCTCAAAGAGAGCCCGTGAGATAGTTTTGTTTTATAGATGAGGTTTATGCATTTCAGACACATTATGCTATTTACCTAGTGCTGAACAGCTAGGATGTGTTGGAGAAGAAATGCAGAATTCATAGTCTGTGCCTTCACTGCCTCCTAAGGGATCTCAGGCCATTTGTGGGGAAGGTGGTCGGATAGCTTCTCGATATCGATTATCTCTTAATCAAGAGCCCTTGTTTGCCACTGTACTTGAAGGAGCTTGAGAAAACTCAGAAGAAAAAAAAAACTGGATTGTCTCAATCAATAGAGGAGGTCTGAAAAGTTTTTCCCACCCGGTATAGTGACGCACACTTTTAATCCCAGCACTTGGGAGTAGAGGCTCGCGGAGCTCTTTGAGTTCAAGGCCAACCTGTTCCACAGAGTGAGATCCAGGATAGTCAGGGATACACAGAAAAATTCTGTCTAGAAAAAAAAGACAAGACAACAAGTCTTTCCCTACATAGCTAACTAATGATTGTGCTGAGTGATTTACCTTCAAGCCAAACCTAGCAGAGACTTTGTCCTCTAGGGACTGACCCTTGGTACCCCAAACCACCCATTTTCATCTTAAGGGAAATAAGCATTTATTCTGGAGTCATTTTGAATGATCATAGCCTGGGAACAGAGATTTAGGTTACCCTGAATACTACATGTTCCGATGTGGAAGCAGTTTCATGAAAGAGAAAGTCATAAATCAAGGTAAGTTTAAAATACATTGGTGGGAACATAGACGACACAGGTGTAAAGGGATGAGGGAAGATATTCTATGGGTCAGGATGCTGTCTGATGGTATTCTTAGCTTTTGGATTGCTAGAAGCTAGTTGCCTGTAAACCAATAGATTCTAAAAGGCTTTATCTATTATCACAAGATGTTAGTTCCCATGGGGTGGGGTGAGAGGGCAAGGAATGGCTGTTCTGGGAGCCAGAAGATAAGTAGCCTCTGGACCTGCAAAATTCCAATCTCTCCACAGTACCGAAATTCTAATCAGCCAATCGGTCTCTGCAGACACAGATTCCTTTAAGGGTCTTTGCTTCTCAGGGCCCTGTAGAGGATGTGGATGCTTGAACACTGAATCAAGATCGTCTTTGCTGAAAGCTTTGAGAATATTTACCAGACACAAAAGCATTGAAGTTTTTTGCTCCATGAAAACAGGCATGGTAGGAAAAGCAGTAAGACTTCTTGCAGAACAGCAGTGAAGAAGGGGGGCCCATTGACTCCTGGTGGCACAGGACTACAATCCTGGCTACTTGAGAGGCTGAGGCAGGAGGATTGCCCCATTTAGGTTACATTGTGAGTTCAGGGTCAGCCTGGGCAATGTGGTGAAGCTCTACTTCCTAAATAGGAGAGTGACAAAGGAGGTAGGGCTGTAACTCAGTGGTAGAACATTTTGAACATACAAAGCTCTGCATCCATCCCCAGCACTGAGAAGGGGAGAGAAAAAGTGAGGGCAAAGCAGATACTTCTTTGGGTTTAGTTTGAGAGCCCACGATAAATGGTTCTGAAGGGTGGGACTGAAGCCAACCCAAGTTTTATCTGGCCTCTTGCTCAGGCCAGTGAGGAAGTTGAGAATCCTAGATGAAGCCCTTGTCCTGCCCAATGTCAGTCATCTTCCTGGCATCCTCTCTTACCCAGCGGGCCTGCCTCTGGGATGCTGCACCCTCCTGGGACTCAAGAGGTTGTGTTGCAAGTTCTCTCTTTGATAGGCACAAAAGGTAGATCCTCTTATCTCCAGGCAGAGGGAGGCACTTTGCTCTGACTACTCAATGGTCTCTCCAGGGCAGCGGCATAAAGGTTGCCTTGTGAAAGAAAAGTGCCCCGTTAGCACACTGGAGTAAAATTCCATCGCTGCCTCCTGGCTGCCAGCTTGTCCTCTTGGCTTCACCCAATCCTTTCAACACCTCTAATAAAACTGTGATGTCCCCACAGTAGGTTTTTCTGCCGGGGATGACTTCTACCTTGTGTTTTGTTGGTGTGTGGTTTTTCTTCTTTTGGTTTTCCAAGACAGGGTTCCTCTGCTGTGTTTTATCATGGGGCTTGATCCTCAGACTGAGAGGTAGACAGAAGTTAACGACCCTCAACTGGGTGTGGTGGCCCGTGGCCCTGGAAGGTGAGGGAAGATGAAAGCCAAACTCAGAGTTCAAGGCCAGCCTAGTCTAGTCTATATACTGCGGTCCAGGACTGCCAGGACTACATAGACCCTATCTTAAAAACAAAACAAAAAAAGTTTCTTCACTCAGAATGTATTTTATATTCAGTGTTTAAATATCATTTACCATGTACCAGGCAACATTAGGGATTTCTTGTTACTTAGGATAATTAATTTTCATAGCAGTTTCATATAGTGTGTCCTATTGTTACTTCTGTTTGGCATGGGAGGCAACAGAGAGGCTAAATAATTTGACTAATGATGCCCAACAAGTACTTGGCAGAGTTGATGCTCAGAACCAAGCAGGGTGACTCCGAATTCCCTGTCTGTATGACCTCTGCTGGGCATGTTAACATCATGAGAAGGACATACGGCTCAAGGCAAGCCATGGGGGTTCAAGGATGGGGGTAGGGGATGGAGGAACTCTTCAGGTGATGAAAACCCCAATGTGTCAGTTTCCCTTCTCCCCCCTTTAACAAAGTGCTGGTCTTGGTTTGTACTCGTGCATAAATAAATATTGTCAGATGAAATGATGAAATTGCTTGGTGTCGCCTCTTTCTTATAGTTCTAGTTTGTTTATTTATTTATTTATTTATTTATTTATTATGTATACAATATTCTTTCTGCG